CTCAAACCATTTGAAGTTGCAAGTAGAGAGATGAGTACACATATGTCCACTTTAAGCCAAGTAATTCCAATGATTCATATTCTAAACCGGAAAATTGAACTACTGTTTGAGGAAACAATGGGCATAGATACTATGCTAAAGTCCTTAAAAGAAGCTATGGTGAGTAGATTATCCTCCATACTCCACGATCCAAGATACATTTTTGCTACACTTTTAGACCCTCGTTATAAGACCTCCTTATTCACAGAAGAAGAAGCAGAACAGTATAAACAGGACTTAATCAGGGAGCTAGAAATACTAAATGCTACCTCAGATGATGATAAACCAGTTTCCAATGGTTGTGGTATAGGTTCATCATCTAAAATCTCTTACGGGAGCAATAGTCTTTGGTCACTGATGGAAGATATGAAAAAAGCTAAACTTCCAAAAGAAAAGACTAAGTTGCCAGAGGAAATGGTGCTTTTATACCTGGAGGAAGAAGTGCTTGAGCATAACTATGATCCCCTCACTTACTGGAATTTTAAGAAATCATCTTGGCCAGTATTGTCAAAATTGGCTGTTCGATTCTTAGGTTGTCCTCCAAGCATCGTTCCATCAGAGAGATTATTCAGTACATCCAATGAAAGCATCAGCTTTAGTCAATCAAGACTAACAATGGAACACTTTGAAAAACTTATATTTTTGAAAGTAAATCTTCCTTTGATATACTTCCAGTATTGAAATTAATGAACAGGCTGCCAGTCTAAACTTGTTGTTCACTGGATAATTACTATATTTGTAACTTAATTGCTCCATTTAGGGGTCATGTATGACAGCTAATCAATGCCTCTTGTTTGAAACTTATATTTTTCAGTTCTATGTCTACATGTGCCTTATCAGTAGTCCTTCAGGCCAGATATAGTGTATATACATTTTCTTTTTTTAAAAAAATCCTATTAGAATTAGCCTTGTCTTTGTCCCAACTATTAAAAAAAATGTAGCTTTTGATTGAATATTGTAAATGAAATTTTAAAACATTTTGAATAGAATGGCAAAACGGATGTAAAAACTTCTATTATGTAGCTTTTTATTCAATTATGTAAAAAAAAAACAGAAACCAGGTACTGTATATTAGCTGAACATTGCTTTAATTGCAGAAAAAACTGTATATAAAGGTGGAAATGAAGCCATCTTCCTATTTAGCAGGTTTTAACTGCAGGCTTAATGTACTTATGTTCAACTATGTATGTACTAAAGATGGCGGTTGAATTAGTATTTGACTAAACTTAGAATTATTAAGAAACACCAGTTATACAGTAATCTATAAATTTGCCATTCATGGTCTTTATTCAGGTTTTTTTTACACTGTAACTGAATTAGAGCTTGAGTATTTATAAGGTTTTTGGGTGTTTATTTTCAAAATTTTCCAATTAATGTTTGTTATTTAATGCAGTGCATTGAAAGATAAAAAAAAATATAAAGAAAGGGCCTCATGCCAAGTCTTTTACAATTGAATGAATTAAACATTACTTCTTGGGAAAATGTAGTTGAGGTTTCCCATGTAACTGAAAATTATATATGGCATTCTTCCATTATTTCTGTTACACAAAGTTGATTTTCAGTGAATATCCTTTCTAAGATTGTGCAAATACTTTGGAAAAGGTGCTTCAGAACACGCAGGACTTGCATCGGATTGTCCTTGCATGCACAAGCACTTCACATGCACCTGAAGAATTTGCACAGCCCATAGACAGGAATCTTGCATAGAATGTTATATAGTAGAACTGACCATAATTGATAGTGTCTATCAGCCAAGTAGGATATTGTAGAATTTTAATAATCCTCAGACAGCAGGTAAGAATAGCCAGCATTTGCATTTGCTGTCCACATTTTAAAAGAATATTTCTCACTCTCTTCTCATCACCCAATGCATTGATAAAATTCTTTGGGAAATTAACTACAGCTTTTAGGAAAGATGTAGTTTTGTTAAAATACTGTACTGTACCTCTGGCTAATTTTTGCATTTATTATGTTTTAGTGTATTTATAAATGATGGATTCAGTTTCTGAAATTAAACATCTTATTTGCAATTTGTAGAGAATGAGTCTACATCAGCCATCCCCCCCCTCCTCCTTAGAATGCAATGGGGATTTAGTGATTCTGGAAAGTGTATGGCAATAATCTGGATATATCTTTTCGAGTAAAAATTAGAAGGCAAGTTTCTACAGTTCTTTCAATCAAACATTTCGTTGTAGTATTTGTCTCCCATACAGTGAGATGTCTGATGTAATGATGCAGTATGGCCCAAATATATTTGAAATATTTTCAGTAAGTACAATATTGAGCTTTTAAAAAAATGACCGCATACGGTAAACCTTACTCAGTTTAACTATTTATATATATATTCCTCTACTGAATTTAAGATAAAACCAGGCCATGTTAAAATTGTCAGAATTGTAGGCAGCAGTGGTGCATTGACACTGAAAGTGTTGTTTTAGACAGCAACTTGAGATAAGGTCAGTGGGTACACATAGCTATGAGCTATTGTTATGCCATTGAGAGATTCTTGTTCCAAATAGCTCTGGTGGTTAAACTGGCTCTCCTTTCTTCCATTTAGCTTACACATTTGGGAAGCGATAGCCACCAGTAGCCACAAATGTTTGGGTTTATAGAATGCACGTGCTTATTTATATAATGTGTGGGTCTCACATGGTTAACAAAATGAAACTTTACACTTGCTACACAGTTACACATTTTGGCTAGTTAAAAAGTAAGAAAACTGAAAATATGGAAGGCTATTGGGTAACAGCACTCATGGCCACAATAGTTCATTCTTTGTAACAAGGTATGTTGGGTTGCTTTGATAGAGTTCGACTAATGTTAACATAAATCTACACAGCTCAAATGTAATAATAAAGAAAACAATGTTTTCACATACTTCAGTTAGTGTAGAAAACTAAAATATTCTGAAACAATCTTAAAATGAGGTCAAAATACTGCATCGAGCCTTATAGTTTTAACACTCTTGGCCAAAAATAATTTTCAGTAATACCGTGTTTCCCCCAAAATAAGACCCTTATATTTTTTTTTGAATCCTGAAATAAGCACAGTTGGCCTTATTGGCATGTGCTCAAAAGCCCAATGGGGCTTATTTTCAGGGGATGTCTTATTTTGAGGAAAACACGGTAGGAAATACACATCTATTTATTTCATATGCCTAAAGGTGACATTTAAGGCCTAAAAATATAATTCTAGAAGATAGATTCCCTATATCTAGTCATTTATTTAACATTTCATAGGTATAATTTCTTTGAGTACCAGTTTTAACTATGCTATGACCATAATTATAGAAATATGCTGGTTCTCCCCTTCCAAAAAAACCCCAATCTTGTGTTAGCTTACAGAATGGCAATCCATTTATTATAAGCTTTCATGGATGTTTTTTTTTTTCTTTGCAGTAGCCTTCATAATGAACATGTGTTTGTTTTTAAGATGCCACAAGACTGTATTCATACCATAGCTGATTATACATAGAAGACATCAGGAACACCTCAATTCACATTAAATAATTGCCAAGTGGCAATTGCAGAAAGGGTAGTACTTTCTTCCAGAAGGAACCAAGTAGTATTTTGAACTTCCAGTAGCTGACTCTTAGCAGGGCCTGTTGTACAAAACAAGATGACTATACCCAATAAGTTTTGCAGGTTTTAAACATAGGCTTTTATGAGAAGTTAATGTTTCCCGTCTGAATAATAGCAGCTTCTGTGAATAGATAAATTGTACATCAAGGAGGACGTCGTTTTCTTTGATGTAAAAGAACAACAAAATTGATTAAACTTGTACAATAGCATACAAGAGAACACATCAGCGTAGTTAAACCAGTTTTACAGGATGGTATTTCTTGTGTCTAAGTCAATTTGCACTCTACTGTGCCAAGGTACACTGATTAAAAATGAATGATTTTAAGAGTTAGGTAAGATATTTTCTTGCATACCTTCAATTATAAATTGTGGATCATCCCACAATTATACTTTTTAACCCATTGCTTCATCTGGCCAGTGAGAACAGTCAGTATAGCTGACGATCTAGCTCTATATTCATTTGGAAGTTATCACTTAAAAACCTGTAAGAAATTAAAACAAATGGCATTTTTTTGACATCCAGTCTTATTTTTCTTGATTTATGCTTGGCTATCTCTTAACACTTTAAAGGCCAGCTTGACTTTCCCATAACTGTTTTATGGTTACTCCATAGCTGATAACTGACAAAAGAAAACCTGGTTAAGAAATGTTATCAGGATGACAAGATGGGCCTTCTCTTATATGCAAATATTGTCTATGAGCAAAACCACCCAACAGATAAAAATAAATAGCATCCGTTGATTTCCAGATTTTGTTGAACCTAATGACATTCAGGTTTAGGTATATGAGATTTTTCATAAGAATTTTATACTGTGGCCCAAAATAGCACATTGTGCTATTTTTCCACATGGTAGAAAACAATGTGAAAACATTAAACCACACAATAATGTTACATAAAAATAACTATTTAGTATATTTCCTATGTAATTATATGAAAACATGTCTTGAATGTATGTACTTTGTATTGAAATCAGTGGTGGAATTCAAATTTTTTTACTATCGGTTCTGTGGGCGTGGTGTGGCTTGGTGGGCGTGGCAGGGGAAGGATACTGCAAAATCTCCATTCCCACCCCACTCCAGGGGAAGGATACTGCAAAATCCCTATTCCCTCCCCATTCCTGGGGGGAGGATATTGCAAAATCTCCATTCCAATCCCACTCTGGGGCCAGCCAGAGGTGGTATTTGCCGGTTCTCCAAACTACTCAAAATTTCCACTACTGGTTCTCCAGAACCCGTCAGAACCTACTGAATTTCACCCCGATTGAAATGTAGCTGGCATTACATGCAGTATATACTATATAAAAGTTTTTCACATAAGTGAAATGAATAGGATCAAGTAGTATTGATCTTTCACGTGCAACACAATTCTAGCAAAAACTATTTCAAACTTGTTCAAATTTTATTTTCCAAAAGAAACAGGGTGCTTTTCCAACAATACTAGTTTGGATTTCAAGTTTAAAGTAATAGGAGGCAGTGCAGTAAAATTCAATCCAATTCCACTGGTGCCAGGAATATGCGCAAGGACTTTGTGAGTTGTCTTGTAATGTGACAGTTGAGCTGAATTCATCTCCATAAGTACATGTGTATATGAGAACATAAGTGGGTTGCCCGGTTTGAGGTCTTCCCTTTTGTCATATCTGTAAGAGAATGAACAGTGTAAGGTAAGTAAAGACTTGAGCCATACTCCACATTCAGGAGACTTAGGTTGTAGCCAAGCAAGAGGAAGGATCGTTATGAAAGCAATATAGGAAACAACCATGAAGCAGGAAATAATTACATAGAGCAGGGAGGATTCTTAAAAGGGCATTTGGTAACTGGATGGTAGATTACTTAAAGAACCTGAATTTTTTAATATAGGATCACGTCAACCATTGCAGAAAACAGGAAGGGAAGGCAATACATACAGTATTAAAGCTGTACGTAAAGTAATTCCATCACTGTTGGAATAAATGGCAAACAAGTTATACAGAACAGAATGGGCACAGAAATAGGTGGTTTAAGAATTTGGTGGTTCAGAATCATTTATTAGCCACAAAAAAGCAACATACCATACATAGGTCAGTGGTGTAAAACTCAAGGCCCACGGGCTGGATATGGTCCAGCTGGCCCATGGGGAGAACTACAATGCTGTTCTGCCCCTCAAAGAAATCCAGTTTGACACCCCTGATATAGGTAATGGAATGCTATAGGAAAAGTAAAATAGATCTGTAGAATGAGACAGAGCTACCCCCAATTGTAGCTATGGCAATCAGAGGAAGACTAGTGATGGCCAGAGGAAATCTAGTTAAAGTATGTCTCTTGTGTTACCTTCTAAGTTCTCTATTCTTTGAAACAAGTTCCCAACACCTAGAGGCAACACAGCTTATTGAATAGGATTTTGGGAGTTTTTGTCTAGTGAATTATTTAGATCAGGGATGGCTACTTGCAGCTTTAGGGCTACAAGCTGCCCCCAACCACTTCCTAGGGCCTATTCTGAATGTAATTGGTGAAAATTGATGGTACTGGTATGATTTTCAGACAAATGAAACAACCAGCAAACTTTCTCCAGCTACTTCCCCACAGAATAAAAATAAAAGTCTCATGTTACCCCTAGTCCTTCTTTTCACTAGACATATCCAATTTCTGTAACTGTTCTTCATATGTTTTAGCCTCCTAACCATCCTTGTTGCTTTTTTCTGCACTCTTCCGAGTATCTCAACATCTTTTTTATAATATGGTGACCAAAACTGGATGTAGTATTCTAAGTATGGTCTTACTAAGGCTTTATAAAATGGTACTAATACTTCATGTGACCTTGATTCTATCCCTATGTTAATGCAACCTAGAATTTCATTGGCTTTAGAATATAATTTATATCTTACTTTATATGATATAGTATATAATCTAAATATATTACACTTTATGTATTTATATATTATACTTCATATAATATAGTTTATAATATAATTTATATCTTACTTTATAAGTAAACAATATAATCCAATGGACTTAGTTCTCTATGAACACACAAAGTAAAAGTGAGCAATTTGTGAATTATACACAATTTAGAAAGCACATCACTGGAGTTTGGCATCAACTGCCCAGAGCTGATGAATTTGGCAAAAAGGAAATATGGAATGAACCCATGCACTTGGGTTTTGAGTGGGGTCTAAACATTTAAATAACTATTAGCCACCACTACCATTTGTTTCCAGAATAATTTTGCAAGCCAACTGATTCTTCAATCAATTCTATAAATTTCCAGAATGAATCTTACATTCTGCTACTTCAAGATCCTTAGTCTTTTTCATTCTAACAAAGCTCCTGTTACGGGCCTTCAGTGTCTATATGTCTTCCTGCTTCGTTGGCAAGATAATTTGAGTGGGAGGAAAATTATTCCAATCAACCTCTCTGTCTTCATGCACTGACAATCTCAGCATCCTTCAACAGTGAAAAGGATGGAAGAGAATAGTTCTTGTGGAAAGAGGACAGAGACTGAAGGAGCTAATAGGAGAGCCTGACTGGCTGGCTCCAGTTAATCATACCAATTAATGCCTTCAGTCTTGCTTGGTATTTGTTCTGCTCCCATCCATCTTTTCCTTTTAATATTTATGAGCTCAAGAGCTATCAGATTGCTAAATTCTTGTCTGCCAACTTCCAGTCTCACTGAAGAACATATGTAATGAAAATAACATGGCATCTCCAAGTCCCTGGAGCATGCATATAAATGTCATACAATTTGTATAGTACATTAAACTAGTGAACACATGCTGTATCTCATTTCCCCTGTTCCATTCACAGCTCAGCTTTGGTGGATGACTCCCTGTGATTAGGCAAACATTAACACTAACTAAAATCTGCACTCAACTAATAAACCAGGGTTTCCCGTCAACCAGAAGTGATCGACATTCCATCTTCAAAAGTCACACTTCCTACTAAAGGAACTATATATTCACATAAATTAGAGTAGATAAAGGTGTGGTGCAAAAGCATCTACAAACCAACAAATGGCCATGTTTTAACATTCTAAGTACTATTAATCAGACATGGTGACTATCCAATGTTTTTGTATTACAATTAACAACAGAGAAGTGGTGCATTCCGATTAACCTGATGTAATTATTCAGGTAAGAACGTAGTATATGCATTCACATTAACTAGCCGGAGTGGTTTAACATGTTGTGCAAATGTGGCCTTAAGAGTATAGTCCAAGAAGCCTCTTTTCCATCATCTACAAAAATTTCCTCCTCCTCCAGAGTTTCATATTAGTAACCAGGTTGAAATGTCAGCTTTACCTTTTAATTGAAACAAGAACTTTATGCTAGCTGCTGGGTGAAACTAAACAACTGGCCAATGCTTCAGGCAGTGCTTCCCTTTGACTAAGCTGTTATTAGAATACAGATTCTCTTAAATATTATTCTAACATTCCTGACCTGAATAAATCCTTTCATCCCAAATCAAAGCTTATAATGCTAAGAGCATCAATCTTCGCCAGAATCAACTTTTATGTCAAGCCTACTGCAGACCATCTTCAAAGCAAGACAATAAAATGTCTGTAATTTTCTTAAGGCTTTGTTATGCAAGAGAATTAAAGATCAGATGGTTCCAATGAATTTATTTTGATCATCAAGTCTTAAATGAAATAAAAGAATGGTTCTCCCTCAGATCATCTCAGATCAAGCATGGAGTGTAGGCCATTTGAGATCCTCTGAGGCATCTTGCTTACTTACTTCTCTGCTTGTGGTTGTGTCTACACAGAATAGGCTACAACTGATTTTCTATTTTGTGAGGTATTTCCTTCACCATAATATTCAGGCAATGTGGATGGATGGCCAGAATAATTGATAGCTCACTTTAGACAATTTATATCACTACTTACTGAGGATATAGAGTGGTCTGGATAGCAGTCACTGAATCAGATTGTGAGGATGTAACTTTAGCAATTACTTGTCTTATTTTGTATTCTTTTTGGTTACTGACTTCAAGGAGAATGTGCATGGATAAGGACTAACAATTGTTTATTTGTGTGTTGCTCTCTTTTAGCTGATTAAACAAACCAGAATAGAGATTAAGAAAAGTGATCAACAGTATCTTGTGAATGGGAAGTACTGACTTTTGGTTAAAGGAGGCTTAAGTGTCTCTTAAAGAGAGCGAATTTGGCATAGTGGTTAAAGCACCAAGCTAGACAATGACTTCTAGTCACATCTTAGGCACAAATTCTGGGACCAATCTCTCTCAGCCCTAGAAAGAAGGACATGGCACCATTTCCCAAAAAATCTTGCCAAGAAACAGCAAGGAACAAAACTCTCTTAACAAACAAACAATAAAACCCTCTCTTGACCTACAAAATATATGTATTTCAATCAAATTTTCAGCCAAGAAATTGAATTGAGACTGTTATGAACACCTTAGTGTTTGACCCATAACAAAAACTACAAGATACTGGCCTAGTGGTTCTCCCAGATTTCTTCAATAATGGGATTGTTCTCCACTGTCTTTGCAGTGGTTCTGGTCCTTTCTGCTGAATCGTGTGCAGAAAGAAACTAGTGTCTCATGGGGATCTGTCATGCTCTTCAAATATCTATATAAAATAATTAGGGAAGGTCAGTTGGAGCTTTGGTGTAGGGCAGTGATGGTGAACCTTTTAGGCACAAAGTGCCCAAGCTGGAAGGAGTGCATGCACATGCACGCCCGTGCACGCACCCCAGAGTGCTGGAAACCCAACGACCAGCTGGATGGTGCATGCGTGCATCGGAAACCTGACGATCAGCTGGTTGAGCTGGGAAGACAGCGCTTGTGCCCACAAAGAGGACTCTGTGTGCCACCTCTGGCACACATGCTATAGGTTCGCCATCACGTGTGTAGGGTTCAAGGGATATGTTGATGATATTGTTTCTACTGCTTTTTATCATCCAACTCTGATACCTAAGTTCATTAACAGACTGAAATTATCCAAACTGAAATTAAATCCAGGCACGGCAAAGATGTGGTTGGTTAAATGAAAACTGAATGGCTGAGATTCAACTTTTTGGGGATGAGGCTACACTTCCCCTAGAGATCAAGTAAGGAGTCCAGAGTGCCCAACCTGCTCTTTGCTGCCAACTGGAACTGCAGGTGACACCTCTACTGAGAAAATTTGCACAAGTAAGGCTCATGACCTTCCCAAATGAGTAAATTTGGGCATCCTAAGTTCTATGAAATACCTTGAATAGATTAGCATGGAAAATCATCCAGAAAATGGATGGAAAATGTCGCCAGAAGGCTGCAAACCTGTGCAAATTATGGAGGTCATGTAGTACCCATGCCAAAACATGGCCTATTACTTATAAGGCAAATATTGTTGGTATTAACATTGAGAAGCATGACCAGTCATTGGGATCTATATGGAAAGCCCTTCGGAAAATGCCCTTGCTGTCAGAGATTCATCTAACTGGCATGTAGGAAAGGCCTTCTCCTGAACTTCTTTCAAGCTCCCTCTGGAGCTGCATTTAATCACCACGATTTCAGTGTATAGAAAGGCAATAAAGGCATTTCTTTTTATCCAGGGTTTTATCTTTTAATTAGTTTAGTATTTGTTTTAATATTTTTAAACCTTTTTAGGTATCCCAAATGCTTGCCTAAACAGAAAGAGAAGCTATAAACAAATAAGTAGATTTGCATATATTTAATTGATGATTGAGATTTTTGAATGAGTAGTACACCCTGATTTTGGAATATGCAACATATTTACCCAGATTTCTATTAATGTAATTTGGCAACAACTAGGGTTAACTTCAAGTTTTTCTACCTTTGCACACAGAAGTATCCCAGATTTATAGTAGTTGAAAAATATATTCCTTTGTTGTTTGCAAAAATCTAATAAACAATTTTAAACATCTGCTTACAACTGCAAAATTACTTTGATGTTATGAACAAAATGTAAAGAAACCATAAAAAGCTTGTTTTTAATTGGTGGTTTGCCAGGAGGTAGCTTGAACTTAGGTACATATCTTGTATAAAAGCAGGAGCTCCTCATTTGAAACTAAATAACCAAGACACACAAAAGTAATTTCTGACACACCTCTCAAATTAAAGGGGATCTGTTTAAATATAAATACCCTTTGGTCTAATGAACACTCTGGAATACAGAAAGCAAATGTCCTTATCTAGGACAAGAGGCTATCAGGCCATGCATCAGGCTAGGCAGAATTTTGATGTCTGGTAGCTATATTTAATATTTTGGAATGGCAGAGGTGGATAGTGATGAAAAAAGTGGAGCTTTTTCCCTGTACTAGGTTTGCAGTACAATGGTTGTGGTTTTCTACCTCAAAATGATCAGAGTAATAGTGATGTAATAGAGGGCTACAGAGATGAACAAAAACTAAGTTTGGAGGCCACTCATTACACACTCCTGCCTCACAGAAGCTAATGAGATTTAAAAAGGAGTCTTACCCAACCTTGCTAGGAAATCAGAGGTGGACAATCTGTGACCTTTCAAAGAGGTTGCTGAAAATTGATGCCCACCATCGTCCACCAGGATAACCTGGGAGTTGTAGTTATGTTTAGAAGGTCACAGGTTCTTTTACTCTGATGTATATAATAAGGCCGTGATGGTGAACCTATGATACACGTACCCGAAGTGGCACACAGAGCCATGTCGCCTGGCACGCACAGCGTAGCCTGTTCTTCTTCTGGGTTTCTGGTGTGCATTCGTGTGCGACGATCAGCTGGCTTTTTTGCATGTGGCAGTGCCGGAAACTGGGAGAGCTGGTCTTCCATCTTCCTGCATGAGCATGCGCGCCAGCCAGCTGATCATCGTGCATGCGCATCAGAAACCCGAAAGAATAGCTGGCTGAAACAGGAAATTCAGTATCTGAAACTGGATGTTCATTTTCGGGCACACGCATGTGCCCTGGACAGTTCCTCTTCCAGGTTGTGGCCCAGACGTGTGTGCGTGCTCCCTTTTCGGCACTCAGTGCCAAAAAGGTTCACCATCACTGTAATAGGGTATCAGTTTTAGATTATCTGTATGTTGGTTTCTATTTTATGCTTGGCACCTCATCTTCACTGCAAAGAGAAGAACTATTAGAAGACAAGGAATAGACAACCTGACCTTTCCTTGTGTGTTGATGAATTCCTAGGCAACATTCAGACTAAGAGTTTGAAGAATATTAGCCCTGAATAGACAAAAATAAATTTAAGAGCAAGAGATCATCATGATGATCATCTCATTTGTATATAACAGAGGTGTTCAACCTTGGTAACTTTTAAGACTTGTGGACTTCAATGCCCAGAATTCCCCTATGACTGGCTGGGAAATTCTGGGAGTTGAAGTCAAAAATTCTTAAAAGTTGCCAAGGTTGGACACCTCTGATATATAACAAACTGCAAAAAAAAAAACAATCTTCCTTTATACATATAAACACACACAATAGACTTACTTCCAATCCAAATTGACTTCTAAAAATCGAGACACACCAGTCTGTGCCGCAGCCCCATCAATGTGGACAGAAACATCTGCAGAAAAACAAAACAAATAAAAAAACCCCAAAACCAATATATGTGAAAGCAAGGAGAGATTCCAGTCTATACTCATGGGCAAGCTTGCGGATTTGTATTTATTGTATTCTTTGAAAAAAAAATCCTAAATTCCAAAAACTGAAGTAGAAAACATTGGCCTGCCTATTGTACTGGAGATGCTAGGTGTGGAATATATATACGTACTTAAAATTAATGAATAAGGTGCTCAACCTAGAATTTAGCCCATTTAAAAAAAAAATGAATTAAAGGAGCAGCTCACGTGAGAAAAAAAAAAGCGAAGCACCAACATCTAGTGACTTATTTACTGACAGAAATGCCTTTGGGCCTCAACAAAATGAAAACAGCACTTTCTGTGGAAGTTATCTCCTGTTCATTCTTTCACTGCTTGGATATCTGGAAAGAGGCTCTGAAACAGCCATACTGAGTATTCAAAATACCCCTCAATGTATTGTCTGAGAAGATTCTTTGCTGAGCTCACCGCATGCCTGTTACTGTATACTTAATTTAATTTAATTAATTAAATTTATATGCCGCCCCTCTCCAAAGACTCCGAAGACTCAGGGCAGCTACTTGCATAGCCCTTGCAAACCCCTTCCTATATAGCTTCGCAAAGGCTCTGCTAAGAATGACAAACTTTCCATCACTTGATTGCCAACTGTCAGAATACAAAGATCAAATACGACCTCGACTTATGACCACAACTGAGCCCAAAATTTCTGTTGTTAAGTGAGATGTTTGTTACGGTTTTACCCCATTTTACAACCTTTCTTGCCTCTGTGAATCACTGCAGTTGATAGGTTAGTAACACCGGTGGTTAAGTGAATCTGGCTTCCCCATAGACTTTGCTTGTCAGGAGGTCGCAAAAGACGATCACATGATCTTGGGACACAACAATGGTCATAGATATGAACTAAAATGGCCAAGCATCTGAACTTCAGTCACATGATCATGGGGATGGTGCAAAGTGTGAAAAAATGGTCACAAGTCACTTTTTTTCAGTGCAGTTGTAACTTTGAATGGTCACTAAATGAACTGTTGTAAGTCGAAGACTCTGGACTGGGATCATCAAATGAAAGTGGCTGCAAGACTTAGAACAGGTACAGGAAAACAGTTCTTGCACAGAATGAAATAATTCTTGGCATTTGTTATGCCAAGACATAGCAATGATGACCCCTTACTTGGATGGCTTTAAAAGCAGATTGGATAAATCCAAGCAGGACAAGTCTATTAAGGGATAATTATTTAGCATCATCTCTGGGTTGGGTGGGTGCAGAATGCCTCCAAGTACCACTTGCAGAGAAACAATAGAAGGATAGGGGTAGCTCTCTATTGCCTGCTTAGGAGTCCTCACTATAATATAAATTATATGGCAATGCCTATCTTAATGTAAGAACATATATGACATTGCCATATTATTCATAGTAAAGTGCATGAGTGCACACACTCTTCTTAACATCACAGTTAACAATCTCCATTCCCAGTACTGTCACCATTGTTAAAGAAGCTAATTTGATAATATGTACCAATATCATAGAGGGATGTGGTGGCTCAGTGGCTAAGACGCTGAGCTTGTCGATCAAAAGGTCGGCAGTTTCAGCGGTTCGAATCCCTAGTGCCGCATAATGGGGTGAGCTCCCGTTGGAAGGCTGAGTCAACCTTGAGCCTGGTGAGAATTGAACTTTAACAGTAGTTTAGTCCACTGCACCACCATGCCATGAATTGCCTTCATGGCACGGTTCCTCCAATTCCATAGGGGGTTCAAAATGTACGCAAATGTGTAATTGAGGACCCAGTTTGTGGGGGCAATAAGCTGACTTTGTATAAAATATACAAAAGTATGAAGGCTATTGCTTAATGCACTGTAAGGCGCCCTGAGTCTCCGGAGAAAGGCGGCATATAAATCAAATTAAAAAAAAAAAATCATAGGGCCTTCCAACTTATTTTGCTTTGTGGGCTGTGTTGTCTTCCTCACACCCTATCACAGGTCACACCCTCAAAATGGGAAAAGGCAGAGTAAGGCTTAAAAGAACAAGCTTTAAAGCTGCCACTTTTATCTCTTGAAACCTCACAGAGTGCAGCAACAAAAAAAATGCCCCGTGTTTAGTTTCATTCAATCTGCAGAAGGGGCTTGAAAAGGTACCAAGCCACCAGGTGACTTTTTTTTTTATCAACCCAGTTTTACTCACCTGCTGTTGGAGGTACCAGCTGGTGTAGTTTTTGCATAGCAACCCCTCCAGGGTAATTGAAGTGGGACACATAGAGCGATGCTCCTGAGTAAGCAGCATTAGCAAAGAGGTGTGCTATAACAAACAGGGTGCCTAATTTGTATAACCATGATTTCTTGTAATTGTTTAGACTGTGTAAGAAAGAAAAATTGCGTATTTAGTGGGCACAATATTTCTGACTCCAATACATGGCTGTTGAAAGATCACATTGAACGTTAGGTGATATGAACTGTAAATGTCATTTTTGTATCGTATTGAACTTGTTTACTGTCAGAGGCAAGAGCCCTGGGATTACGTCCTACATGCACAACAATTCTGCTCTGAAATTTGCATGTCCATCTTCAGTTAAAGTGTGCTTCAGCATGATACTCAAACCCTAAACTGCAATTAACCCTAGCTCTAAAACACAGGTCAAAATCAACCTGATTTAGAATATTATACACTGTTCTAGTCAATTTATTCAGGTTGATAATAAATCCTGATTAGACAAAAATGAAAGTAAAACTTTGCAATCTTGGAAGAAGTTCAAACTTTTAGTGCAGAGGTTCCCAACCCCTCGGCTGTGGATCTTGTTGAGAACCAGGCAACACGAGTGGTAGGCGAGCATGCAAAGCTTCATTTGCGAATGCGCAGGATTAAGTTGTGCATGGAAAACGATCCTCTCCCCCCACCCCCATCCCTTCCCCCCTCCCAATCCATGGAGCCAGAAAGGTTTCGGACTGCTGTTTTACTGGACTTTAAAGAGCAACAGGGGGGCAGAATTTACTATATATAATATGCACTAACAAAATAAGATTTGTTTTTATGGGGATTTTTTTTTTCATCCTTTGTAAAGGCAGAGGTTAGTTTGCTGTGGTTTAAAATTCATAGGACTAAACAGCTTGCATATTTTCTAATCCAAAAGGTCGTGGGAAATGTCACTCTTCATCCATTTTACATCTTATTCACTCTCATCAGGTCTTAAGGCCAATATTAAGTGACTGGTGCCCTGAGGGAATGACAAAATAAGAATCTTTTATTCCAAGTCAGCCTTTCCCAATCCGGGGCCCACAAGATGATTAAGACTCCCAGAATTCCTATCAAGGTTATTTGGAGAACAATATGATTGGTAAACTAGCAAGCGGTGAATAATGAAGTCAAGATCTTGAAACAGAAATTAAATAATTATGTACAAGTATACTTACATTCGAGAGCAGCCTTTGGCAGCCACTATATTCAAAACTGGAAATGTGTATATTATAAACCGCAGCTCTTTGTGTGGGAGAAAGGAATACAAGAAAATAAAACCAAGTGAGGGTAGAATTAATACCCAACATCTTCGGTCTACTGCTCCTAGTAGTAGAAATACAATACTGCAACCCAGAGCGCGAGGCAAGGCAGAGTAAAAATACCATAAAAATGGCGAGGTCTTTAAAAAGACAGTTAAGGAATTTTTTTAAATTAAAAATGACTATTTGAATTAATAATTTTCTCAGTGTGGTATCTTCTACATTTCTAAAATGTAGCAGCGCTGGCTGGGGGATTCTGGGAGTTGAAGTCCACCCATCTTCAAGGTACAAAGGTTGAGAAACACTGGTCTAGAACATCGTATAGCCACTTGAAACTTTCTAGAAAAAAAAACCCTGTTTTTCCATGTTTTCTTATGTTTTTGTTTCTTTGCTGCATAAATAAGCTACTTTATCATACATAACATTATAAAATATATACAGTGAGATACAAAATCAGCTCTTTCATTTACTTGTTTGAAAAAAGTAAAAAGCATGTATGCTAATGCACCCACACATAAACATCCCCCATTCCCAATTACCTCACCTCAGACGCCCCTAATTTGTCACTGAAGAACTCGTGAGTTAAGTCTAGACTTTTATGTAACCAACAAAACCACACAATACATTGTGTGAAGAGAATCACAGATTTAGCAGAATTCCATTGTTTGAGATACAATGCATCGTAGGTTAACAATCTTTGAACTGAGGTACCTCAAATGGGCTAACTTAAGAATACATTCAAAATTTGGGACCCATGACTTCAAAGGGAATGGTTACTCAGTGCTACTAGCTGCTGCTGCTACACTGCTAGGCTTCTGCTGCGATTACATGATCTTCATTTTCAACATTCTGTGGAAGTTTTCCAGCCAGTCCCACAACACCTCACACCTTCTCCAACCCAGCAGCAGTCACCTGCTGCAAAGGGAAAGGAAGGGAGAAATGAAGGAACAAGGAGAAAGGAGCCTTCACACACTTTTTCTGGACCATGTCCTTCATGTGCGTTCTCCCTACCTGTGCCACCTCCCAACAACTCCCTGATTCACACAGCACCTTTCTTGTCAGGGTGGCAATTAATCCCATTCTGCTTTTGGGTAATTGCTCCTTGATTTAGAGAAGTGGATCGAGGCTTTTCCCTTGAAGCATACTTTAAGAAAATAAACCCGAAGATATATTTTCTAAGAAAAACTCATTTACTTGTTATAAAGAAAATAAAACATCTTACTAATCTAATTAGTTACATCTTGGCAAAGCTTTCCCGGCCACCTCTCCTGGACGGAGAACAAAGAAAGATAGAAGAAAGTGAAAGAATGTAGACATGTGCAGTTAGCTTACTGATAAGAACTTGGCAAGCTACGGTAAGTCTTAGAGTTCAAAAATAAGAGCTCATCTGGTAAATACAAAAACGCAGTGACATTTCTTACACTCCCAGTCATGCCCTTCCCAAACTATGTTGCTCACCCATATGACCTCCCCAATCAATATGATACCCAGGGGTGGGATTCAGCCAGTTTGCATCAGTTGGGGCAAACCGGATATTAATTTTAATCTGGTTCACCAAACCGGTTGTTCCAAGGACTGGCTGACCCCGCCCACCCCGCCCCACCCCTCCCAAATGCAGGGCGCGTGCAGAGGCTCTGGGAGGGTGAAAAACGGACCCTCCGGAGGACCTCTGCTGCACAGGGGAGGCCGTTTTTGCCCTTTGTGGACTCTGCCCCTATCAACAAGCATAGAATTGAGACCAGCAAAAAAAAAAGCGGCAATGCACTCACTTTAACAAAATCTATAAATATAACAACAAAAACACCATTTCGTCTGTTAAATTGAAGCCTTTTTCATAATGCACACTTTTTGCTATCTGCTTGCAAAGCTGGTTGAAGAACAAGACAACATAGCTTTTGGACTTGGCAATCCAAAAGATTATAATTATGCTATCAGTTATGTACTGTATCCCTTTCCATTTGGAAATTTGTCAAAAAAAACAAAACAGCACAACACAAGGTACATGCATTGAATAATGCACACTTTTGTTTGATAACCAGCCTAAAAAAACAAAAACAAAAGACATGCAAAAATAATGGGGATTTTATTGGAACCTGTGAACTCTAATTTTCAATTAGGAAAAGGTAAAAAAAGGTATACCTATTATGCAAACAACAGTACACAATGATGCTTTAAGCTTGTGAACCATTTTGAATTGTCATTATTTCTATATAAGTACGACATAAAACATGATCTAACCTCTACACAATTCCTAAAAGTGGATAGAGAGAAAGCAATTAAACAAGTCACAAACTTTTAAGCACCACTGTATGTTTTCTTAACTCATCCCCACTGCCACCCTGTCCCTTACCTCACCTTATTGCACATGACAGCAAAGATGGATCTGTGCCTCCTGTTGTATTAGCCAATGTGCTTTCTGAATCTTCCTAGCTTGGAGAATTAAAACAATATCAAGCCACAGAATGAGCTACACTGGGATGTTCAAACTTTTGAACTACTGTTCCGAGCTTGCAACACTGAAAGCAGCCATTTGAAATTCAGTCACTTGTGTGCAACTTCTGAGGATTTAAAGTTCCAGATTCAGTAAGAGAGAAAGTCTGTTTTAAGGCTGATATGAATCTTCCTATTAAGTGAAGTGAACTTTGTAGCACCAATTATGATCATGTCCTTTTTATAAGTGATCATTTCCATGTCACTTTGAAAGTGACAAATTTGGGCTGAAAAACAAAAAAAAAACCAGTATTAACTGGCCTGAGCCACTGAGCCCATCACTATTCTCTCCATTCCAATACTCACACCCTTCTATAGGAGCTGGAACCTTGCATGACAACAATTTTCTACCACCAAAGGTATCCACAGATATCAGGAGAATAAGATGAGAAATGTGGAATCAGGTGTAAGAAATAAAAATGGCTGAGGACATTTAAGATTTAGTTCCATACAAATTTCAATTCTTGCTATGACAAGAAAGTGATGTGGCTTGGAAAGGATGCAAAATAAAGAATTTTCATGACAAGACTTTTTACCTCATCTAGCTATTTCCAGTTATTCCTTCTCACATTGTGAATATTGAACTCATTTAAATTGTGCTACAGAATTCTATCTCCTCCATGTTTAAAAGGATACTCCCCAGTTGGAGCTTTTATTTAAGACAATGTTATACCAAAGTACTTTTCCCTCAGGCCACAAGAGCTGCCTCCAAAACACAGAATCCACAGCCACTGTGAGTCCTAAAAGGAGAAAAGAGCCAAAAGTGAGGAGCTATGCAAAAATCACTTAGTCAGTTCAACATGCCTTGAACCAATAATTACGACTGTCATTCCAGAACTGGATGAAAATCAGCCCATTACCTGAAATATTGATTTGACTGCACAGCCTGCAGAATCACAAGGCTGTGACTTGAAAAGGGCTGTAATTATTGCCCCTTCTGCCTGAGGTTAAATACATTGGTTTGATTTCATAGGATTAAAAACATGGAGGCAAGATCTGCCATTCAGATAGGACTTTGGGAGACACCCAGGGCTCCACTTCGAATTAGCAAGGGAGCCTCTATGTGCAACAGAACTGGCTGGTTCTCTTTTGTATTAAATACATTGCCATTTACTGTAGGACCTGACTATGTGGCTCAGTGGCTAAGACACTGAGCTTGTCAATCAGAAAGATTGGCAATTTGGCGGTTCGAATCCCTAGTACAGGTCTCCTGTGTGAGCAGGGGGTTGGACTAGATGACCTCCAAGGTCCCTTCCAACTGTGTTACTGTTAAACCTTCTTATAAGATAACTAAATCCACAGACTAAGATGATCTACTTGCACAATTGATGAACAAAGAGCAGAGTCCCACAAAGGACTATATAACTGCACACTAAACCAAGTGCAGAATTTTTCCATCTTTTAAAATGAGAAGTAGAGTAGAGTAGAGTAGAGTAGAGTAGAGTAGAGTAGAGTAGAAGTGAAGTGAAGTGAATTCTTTATTGGCCAAGTGTGATTGGGCACACAAGGAATTTGTCTTTGGTGTATATGCTCTCAATGTACATAAAAGAAAAGATACATTCGTCAAGAATCATAAGGTACAACACTTAATGAAGTAATGTCATTAAAAGTTTTGCAATGTAGTTTTAGAAGAGCCACTTTTGAAGGAAATCCCACTAATTCAAAACCACACTCACCTAGCCAAAAAGCCCCTGCAGGAGCAGCATAAAAAAGCGTTTTCATAACAGAGAGTTTTTTATTCAATAGAGTGATCAGTAGCATAAGACCCAGGAATATGCAAAGCTCTGCTCTGAAGACAATGATCGCCAAAGCCGAGAACCAAATAAACGAGCGGTGCTTTTGTTGCATCCAAGATGTAACTGCTAGTAAAACTGATTAACAAATGAACAGACAAATTGGGTATTAGTAACTTAGCTTCTTGGTCATTGTCAGGATCTAAATATAGCAAAACAGTTACTGTATTTTTCGGAGTATAAGACACACTTTTCCTCTCCTAAAAGAGGGTGAAAATTTGGATGTGTCTTATACACCAAATGTAGTCCCACCCACCTGCCGGCCCCACCCACCAGCCTCCGCGCATCGCGTTTTATATCTGTTCCAGGCTGCAGTCATTGCCACAGACCATTGCCCCCTCCTTGGCTTGCGTTTTCAGCCTCCAAAAGCCCCATTCAAGGCTGCAGTGATTGCCAAAGCACATCGCCGCCAATCGCCACCTGAAAATGTGATGCCAAAAATGGGGCATGTGGAGACCTAAAATGCAGCCTCTCAGAGCTTTCGGGGGCTAAAAACGCAGCCTCTCAAATGCATGCGTTCACAACCAGTGAACCTGTTGCTAAAATTCATCTCTGGGAACAGCTGATTGGGGGTATTCCGGGAGGCTGGTCCACCCACCAATCAGCTGTTCATGCTGAATCAGGCTAATATACCTGTTCCAGGTTGTTTGCTAAGGATGCAAGCCAGATGGATGCTGGTAGGCAGAATTTTTTTTCCCTTATTTTCCTCCCCAAAAACTAATGTGCGTCTTATACTCCGATGCATTTTATAGTCTGAAAAATATAGTAACAAGCCTGCTACATAATCAAAATCAAACTTCCAGTAAATTTTTTAAGTTCATTCCACTTAAAGCATATTGTAGGATTATAAATTGCACCATTGGAAGAAAATGATTGGAGGTGGGGGATACACATACCATTCTAAAGAGAGAGAGTGCTACAGGTTGGAGTAAGGATCTCAATTCAGTTGGGCCAGAACTTCCTGATTTATTTTACCTTTTGTGTTTGGGAGTGGAGATGGTTACTAAATAATATTAAGCCTATTTTAGGTTCTCTTTTTTCCTGGTATTTTATGTTTCTGATTTTCAATAATTGTAGTGGGAAGGGAGTTCAAAAATATGTGGTCTCCCATCCAGGGGTGAAATGCTCCCGGTTCGGACTGGATCGCCTGATCCGGTAGCGATGGCGGTGGGTGGTTCGGAGAACCGGTAGCAGAAATCCCTGCCCCCCCCATGCCCAGCTGAGCCGCGTAATCATTGGAGGCTTTTTTTTTCTTTTAAAAGCATTTTTTCTACAAATGCTTTTAAAAATAATAATAAAAAGGCCTCCGATGATCGTGTGGCTCAGCTGGGGTCGTCAGAGCCTTTTAAAAGCCAAAGAGGTTGTAGAAAAAATGCTTTTAAAAGGCTCTGACGATCCCAGATGAGTTGCCTGATCGTCAGAGCCTTTTAAAAACATTTTTTCTACAACCTTTGGCCGAAGAGGTTGTAAAAAAAATGCTTTTAAAAGTAAAAAAAAAAAAAAAAAGTTGGCCACGCCCACCCAGTCACATTACACCCTCCCCCCCACCAAGCCACGCCCAAAGAACCGGTAGTAACAAATTTTACATTTCACCACTGCTCCCATCCTATAGCTTGGTGGGTTTAGCGACTCCCATTCTTGATTTATGCACCTCAGACATCGAGGGCATTTGTGTCTGCTGGCCTTCTCAGCGGTGGGCAAGACAACATCTCAAGCCAATCACAATCCTTGTTGCTACATGTCATTGTGAACAGTGCTTTAGCATTATTTACCCATCAAGGAAGGTTTTGAAAAGCACGCTCAGTACTTACCAATAGGCAGCGCAAATACGTTGGGGAGGGTACGAGTGCAGTAAAACATCAGGTGGAATTGAGTAGCTGTTATTAGGCAGAAAATCAGGGATACAGTATAACCAAACTGTTTTCTCACTTCTTTGTGTAGCCGCCATAGAGCATAAATCACTGTCAAGCCTAGGGTTCCTCGGACTGATGGCAAAATAACATGAATAACAATGAAAAATCAGGTTTATTATCTGTAATAGAAATAACAGGTAATGTTCACAGTCTATGTGACTTTGGCTATATATAACAGTATTAGAAATTACAATGATTTACAATGCAATAAAAAAAACTTAAAGAAACGTGGCTCTATCTCATACCTATCAGCTGGGAGTAGAATTTTGACATTTGTAAAAGGGACAATATATAGATGGCTGGACTGGAAAGAAGAGCAATAAAAACTGGACCAATGAATGTTCTCGGGACAACTCCAGGAAATTCATGATGATCGTACTGCAATAAAAAAATCCATAACACAGATATATAGAAATAACTGCAAAAAGAAATTCTATAATTTTATTATACTTCTTTAGTTAAGAAAGAGCAAAGGTAATCCAAATTAGTCATCAATGTTTGCTCCAAAATTGATACGGAAGACACCAGTGGAATAATTCCTGGGGATTTAACTGAAAATAAATGAGGAGATAACAATGCCTCCAAAAATCAAAAAGCATGGGGAACTCTTGAGGACTGCATATATGGGTAAGTGGAGGCTACACATGGCCTGCAGATTACCCAGCAGTTTTTTTTAATACAGTTGGTGAACAAAGTACTAGAATTAAACACTTAATCCTGGATAATTCCTCAATCAGATAATCCACGATGGCACAAATTTCTTTTAATCCAGCTAAATGATTAGCTATTGTTTCTATTCTTCTATATTCATGTAAAAATATATGACAGGCAATAATAATGTTGGGCACAATAGAGTATTAGTATAATTACAAATGCTAAGATGCGACTGGCTTTGAAAATAACTCTGTAGCAAACTAAATTTAAAAGAGAACAATCAGAAAGTAACAAGATTTACCTTATCTAATTCCAGCTTCTCGTACAAAATGTCATGTATAGCTTGAAGATTAAAGCTCTCCTCTACTTTTGTAAATGGGCACACAACTAAGTGAACGAAGGCAACAGCAACTATCAGTAGTAGCAGCCATGGTTGCCCATGCGAAGGTTTCTTCTCAGCCATTCTGTATCCAAAATTCCCATCTACATTATTAGTTTGGGAAGAAAAAAATCAGAATGAGAAAAAATGTCTGACGTATAAGGCAGTCATTGAGCATATAGCAAAACGAAGATCAGACCTGGATAAGCACTAACATTTTACCTGTCAGTAAATGCTTTGACTTATTTCCTGAAGATTAATGAAGCTAGGTTTAACTGTAGCAGCTTCCTGGCTGCTCTTTCAAATTACACTGTTGCTCTCCTCTGCTGAAGGACAGAACAGCAATCTAGAATTGTTCTAGGGCAGGGATCAGCAACCTGTGGCTCTGGAGCTGTGTGTGGCTCTTTCATCCCTCTGCTGCAGCTCTCTGTTGCTCAAAATATGCGTCACAACCGCCAATGTGCGACACCCACCGGCACATGATTTATTGAGCTTTTCAACTCCCGGTAGGCCAATCGTGGATAAATCCAAGAAAAGAAAAGTTTCAGAAGAAAATAGAACATTTCATTCAACTACATATGTTAGTTTTGAGTGTTTTAAGGTTGCCGACCCGTTCTAGGGCCTAGAACAATTCTAGGTTGCTATTCTATCCTTCAACAATTCTGTTCTTAAATCTAGGCCTTCAAACTACCTTGCTCTCCCATTGCTAGTACTAGTCAATTACATCTGCAAAAAGGGACTGAAAAAGGCACAAGGCATTTAAACATCATACCACCACCTTGTTCTTTCAGAAAACATGTTTTGAGATAAAAGTATTCCCCTTTTGATATTAAAAAAATAGGCACTGTTTTGGACCTCCCCCTTCTCCAAGGTTTACCAAGTGCAGAAGCAGTCAGAGGTTAAATCTTGGAAGTATGTTGAAATTTCTCAGCTTTAGAAACCTTAAAATCAGAACATTCTAGTTTGCCATTGATCCATTTTTCAATATGTATTTTATACCAGAGAGACTTAGGGAGAAGGGGTTGAAGTAGCAAGAAACTTTGGAGGAGAGTGACCATATCATATTAGAATTCAATGTAATACAAACACAAACCATAGAACAAAATCAAAGCAGCATCTTAGTCATTAAAAAAGCTGATTTCAACAAACTTAGATAGATCTTGGGAAGGATTTCATGAATGAAAATCTTAAAGGGGAAAACTCAGTAAGCTTGAGAAACTCTGAAAAAAATGTGATTAAAGCTCAGTCCACCACAATACCACTGAAAAAGAAAAATAAGAAACCCAAGAAGAAACCAGCATGGCTACATAAGGAAGTCTCTGATAAACTGGAAGACTAAAGGGTAAGTATAAAAAGTGGAAAGAGGGACACATATCTAAGGCAGAATACCAGCATATAGCCCAAATCTATAAAATTGAAGTCAAAAATAATTTTAAAAGTTTTTTTTTTCCAAGATGTAAAATCTAATAAAAAAGTCAAGGAAACTATTGGTGCACTAATGGGAGAACATGGCAAGGAAGTGATGACCAGCGGGGGGAAAGCAGAGCTTCTCTCTATACTTAAGAGTGCAGAGAAGAGAAACAAAGATACCGTTATTAGGGGGCTGGAGGCTAAAACACATGAACGGTTGCAGGAATTGGATGTCTATTCTAGTAAAAAGAAAGACAGGGGTGACATGATAGCACTGTTCTAATATTTGAGGGGCTTCCTCAAAGAAGAGGGGTCAACCTATTTTCCAAAGTACCAGAAGGCAGGACAAAAAGCAATGGATGGAAACTAATCAAGGAGACAAGCAGCCTAAAACTAAAGGGAAATTTCCTGACAGTGAGAACAATTAACGAATGGAACAGGTTGCCTTCAGAGCTCCATCACTGGAGGTTTTTTAAGAGGCTGGGCAGCCATTTTTCTAGAATGGTTATAGGGCAGGGGTGTCAAACTCAAGGCCCGCAGGCAGCATCTGGCCAGCAGGGTGCTTAAATCTGGCCTGCGGTGCCAGCCTGGAAATATGAAAGGACCAGTCTGCAGTACCTCTACCAGCCTCGCAGGGCCTCCACACGGCCAGTTTTCGGTTGGCAGAGTGCAGCAGGAGGCATCCGTCCCATCTCCCCCTCCGCTGACCTGCGGGAAACTACAATGTTGATCCAGCCTTCGAATAACCTGGATTAAGATATTAGATTTAGGAGCTGGGAGACACAGCTTATAGTTTACACTTAGTTATGAAACTTGCTGTCTGACTTTGAGGACGTCACTCTTTCTCAATCCAACCCATCTCACAGGATGGTTGTTGTGGGGGGAAAAGAGAAAGAAGGAATATTGGTGGGTATGTTTGCTGCCTTGAGTTACTTATAAAGTACTAAAGATGAGGTAAAAAGGAAGGAAGGAAGGAAGGAAGGAAGGAAGGAAGGAAGGAAGGAAGGGAGGGAGGGAGGGAGGGAGGGAGGGAGGAAGGAAGGAAGGCTCCTCCTCTCGAGCCTCACTAGACACTTCCTCCTCCTGCCTGTGGAACAGCCTGTCACTTTACTAGGGGGCGGGAGGATAAAGGAAGCCATGGACCAGGAGAAAAACTGAACCCCCATTCCAGCATATTCCCTTCCCTCCAGGCAGGCAAGATTCCTTCATTATTTCTTAAACAAGACAGCAATTGAAGGAAACTTCAGGTAGATATTTTAAATTCAAAGCGGAAAAGGGGGGGATTCTTTTTAATTGAGTTTTCTACTGCCTTTCCCCAACAGTTGAAAAGTGAGACAACTGCAGCGGTCTTCTCCATTTGTTTTATTCCCAACCATCCCGGGAGGCAGGCTGGGCCAAGAACGAGAGAGAGAAAGAGGCTCATGTCCCCTCCACCCCCAGCCCATGGGCTTCAATGGCTGAGAATGATCTGATACCTTCATCCCATTTCCAAATTTTCTTTTACATTTCCCTGCGAACATCATCTTCATGAGAACTATTTGTAGAACTAATTATAGAAGAGTCCTCCACTCCTCTGCTCGCAACAGAATCCCTTATGCCACCAGGCTTGAAATTTTGGCCTTAAGACAATTTAGAACTACGCCGCCTTCGGTCTGACCTAAGCGTAGAACATAAAATGATCTGCCACAACGTCCTACAAGTCAATGACTACTTCAGCTTCCACCACAACAATACACAAGCACACAATAGATACAAACTCAAGGTAAACCTCTCCAAATTCGATTGCAGAAAATACGACTTCAGCAAACAAGAGTGGTCAATGCTTGGAATGCACTACCTGACTCTGTGGTTTCATCCACAAACCCCCAAAACTTTAACCTTAGACCAGAGGTCTTCAAACTTGGCAGCATGAAGACTTTAAAGTTTTAATGTTTTTAATTTTTAAATGTTTTTTATTGGGATTTTAAATGTATTGTGAGCCGCCCTGAGTCTTCGGAGAGGGGCGGCATATAAACTGAATTAAATTGAAATTGAAAATTGAAAACTTGTGGAGTCTTAAGCTAAGACTCCAAGAGACTTAAACTAAGACTTAAGCTAAGTCTTTAAACTAAACTGGCTGGAGAATTCTGGGAGTTGAAGTCCACAAGTCTTAAAGCTGCCAAGTTTGAAGACCTCTGCTTTAGACCAGTGTTTCTCAATCTCAGGGAGTTTAAAACCTGTGGACTTCAACTCCCAAAATTCCCCAGCCAGTTTAGTTTAAAGATTTAGCTGGCTGGGGAATTCTGGAAGTTGAAGTCCACAGGTTTTAAACTCCCTGAGATTGAGAAACACTGGTTTTAAGACTATCTACTTTCGACCTCACCCCATTCCTAACAGGTCTGAAAGGGACATGGACATGCATAACGTGCCTACCGTCCCTGTCCTACTGTCCCCATTTTATTCGTATCCATTTCCTGTATTCATAATCATGTTTATACTTATATCTGTAATCATGTATGTTTGACAAAAGAGCCTTGGTAGCACAGTGGACTAATGCACTGTTATTAACATCTGCTGCTTGCAATTACTGCAAGTTCAAATCCCACCAGGCTCAAGGTTGACTCAGGCTTCCATCCTTTCTAAGGTAGGTAAAACGAGGACCCGGATTGTGGGGGCAATAAACTGACTTTGTATAAATATACAAAAGTATGAAGGCTATGGTTTAACGCATTGTAAGCCGCCCTGAGTCTCCGGAGAAGGGCGGCATATAAATTAAAGCAAAATCAATCAATAAATAAAAATATATTTTTTAAAAAAATAATAATCCGATTTATTCCTCCCCGCTGAAGCGAGACTCCCACGCCTGGTTCTCTTCCCCTTCCCACTTTCCTCCCGAGGAAACGGAGCAGCCCCGTAACGCCGAGCCCCACGTCAGCCGAGCGCCCCCACCTTCCCTTCCTTCCCACTCCAGAGCCGGGACTCACCCGGAAGGCGCCCACGTGGATTCTCTCGACCTGGGGTCACGTGACACCCTTCGGAGCCCGGGGGCGGGGCCGGCTTTGTCACGTGACTCGCCTTGCCCGGCGACTTGCCCCGAAGGTCCCCGTAGGCTCCTCCTGCGCCCTTTTTCTTTTTTTTCCTCATTTTTTTTTGAAAGAGTTCCGCGGTTCACCCGCAAAAGGTTCCACCGCCGCCTTTTATTTCGTTTTCCCTTTTTTTTTTTTTTTTTTTTTTTACTTCGGCAGCGTTCTTCTCAGATAGGAAGAGGCAGCGTTTCCTTCTGTCGCTGCCCGGATTTGACACGGGAGGAGGCGACACCAGTGAATCGGGGAGCTATTATTATTATTATTATTATTTTTTGCAATTATGGCCTGGCTTTCTCATCCCTTCCTCCCTTCTCCCATCTCCCCCCCCCAAAAAAAGGGGGGGGTTCTTTCTTCTTCGTGAGCCTTGCTTCTTAATCTTTTCTCTCCCGTTGCCAAAACGTTGCAGCGCTTGTTCCTCCTTCTCCTGCCCGGCTTCCCTGCAGCGTCATGGCCTTTTCAATGTTTTTGAACGGATCCTCATTACTAGCAGCAACTCCTCGGGTTGTTTGGGGTTGGGGGGTGAGATCCTTGGAAGAGAGAGATAGAGGAAGAAAACAACGGCTCCTCTCCACCATTCAAATCAATCTCCTGTAGGAAGGATCTTCTTCTCTCTCTTTGTGCGTTTATTATTATTATTATTTTTTACAGAATTATGACGATGGTTTCTGTTTATATTTCCTTTCTTAATAGGCAGTTATCCTTAGTTAATGCCTTAGCCCAGAAACTGGGATGGATGTTGGTAATAGTAATAAAATCCAAATGAAAGGGTATTGGTTGAGCAAACACCACTTCTTGCAACGGAACTGATTTATATACACGGGGGGGTGGGGTGATCTCTTCATAATTCCTCGCTTTTTTTTATAAAAAAAAGAAAAATTCTAAAGGATGACGTCACAATCCTGAAGAATGGAACCCAACGTACGTACGTACGTCTACGGTTCGGTTTCCTTAGCTCAGAGGTCTTTAAGCTTGGGCCGCTTTAAAACTTGTGGACTTCAACTCCCAGAATTCTCCAGCCAGCTATGCTATGCTATGCTATGCTATACTGTGTATACTATACAGCCAGTTATGCTGGCTGGAGAATTCTGGGAGTTGAAGTCCACAAGTCTTAAAAGCGGCCAAGCTTGAAGACCTCTGCGTAGATCTTCGCTTTCCTTTTTTTTTTTCCCCTACGTGGGTTTCTCATTGGCTCAGAGCGTGGCGAGCCGCGATTGGGCCACGTGCCCTGCTTTCCCAGCACGAGGGTCTCCGCTGTGGGCCCAACGATTGGCTGGAAGTGAACGTTGGGCGGGTCTATATATATATATATATTAAAAAAAAAAAAAACCAGGGTTCTGAATGAGGGCCGGTGGCAGAGCCGGCCTTCGAAGCTGGCGGGGTTGCTTGAAGCCATGAAAGCCGGTCGGGCTGCGTGGAGGAGATGGCTGGAAGCTTTTGCTTTCCTCAGCCTCCTGGCCTTCCTCCTCCTCTCCTTCCCGCCCGCGTCGCCGGCTCTGGCCTCCCCTGAGGAGAAGCTCCGGCAAGCCTGCAACACCTGTCGAGGGATCGTCGACCGGTTCACTCAGGTGGGAGAGGCAGGGAAGCTGAGGCAGCTGAAGGAAGGCGGAGGGCGGAGGGTGACCTTAACCGCCAGCCCACAGCTGGCTTCCACTTAACGGTCCAACATAGTAGGAGAAAGTTGGCTTTCCCCTCCCCCTCATTAAAACTATTTTTTTTAAAAAAAATGGTAACGCCAACAAATTACTTGGTATTCCTTGTCCACAAAATACTTGTGTACTGGCTTATTTTTAATAGCATTATTAGTTAGGGTTGTGTCCCTTAACGGAGGTTTCAGAAATTAATTCCAAGAGGTGAACTTTCGTCCTTGTTTTCCCTGCAGTAACAACAACCCTGTGAGGTGGCCTGGGCTGAGAGAGAGAGGGGGGGGGGACTGGCCCCAAATGACCCAGCTGGCTTTCATGCCTAAAAAGCACAACTAGACAGGTAGTCCTCGACTTATAACCAGTGGTGAAATCCAAATTTATTTTACTACCGGTTCTGTGGGCGTGCCTTGGTGGGCGTGGCAGGGGAAGGATACTGCAAAATCCCCATTCTCACCCCACTCCAGGGGAAGGATACTGCAAAATCCCCATTCCCATCCTACTCTGGGGCCAGCCAGAGGTGGTATTTGCTGGTTCTCCAAATTACTCAAAATTTCCGCTGCTGGATTTCACCCCTGCTTATAACCATTCGTTTAGTGACCATTGGAAGTTTAAAAAAAAATGAAAAAAGTGACGTAACAATTTTTCACACTTACAACCAGTTGCAGCAACCCCGTGGTCATTTGATCAAAAATCAGACCAGGTAGCTAGCATGTATTTATGACATGACACTTTTCTACGGTCATGTGATTACCATTCCTCTGCCGGCTTCCAACAAGCCAAGTCAATGTAGGAAATTATAGATTTGTTTAACAATGGCATGATTCGCTTAACAACTGCAGTGATTCACTTAACAACTGCAGCAAAAAATCTAAAATGATTCAATTGCCTTGCTTCGCAGTGGAAATTTTGGACTCGATTATGGTCATAAGTCAAGGACTACCTGTACTAACACCTCTTATCAATCCACCATACTGGTTCTCATGTTCTAGAAATTTTTCTTTTTAAAAAAATCCTTAAATTTTAAACCGTGACAGAAAGTATTTGTTAAAACACTTGCTAATTCAGTTTTATGGTGTTACAGATAGGGATATGTATTTTAGTTAGGCTGTTACATAGCATGTGAAAGTAATGTGGGAAAATCAGATTCCAACCTTTTTAAAACTCAAACATGTAAGTACCTTAAGTTATGACCTGAGAACATATTTGTTGAGAACTGTACAAAATTAGAAATCTTCCATATTGGGATTAATTATTGGAAAGAATAGTACTGTTAGGTGTACTGACACTAGTGAACTTTTGAATGGCTGTTCCTGGTTTCAGAACATGATAAAAGAGTGCGTTCAAAAATGCTGCTTAATATTTGCAAACAGGTAGAAAAAGCAATAATCTATCAATTAATAGAGCTTACCCTTTGTATGGACTTGAAGTTTCAAAAGCTTTCAAAAAAAGTAAGTTAATTTATCTCCAGAATAATACATTTCTGTATTGTATGTTCACTTTCTATAAATATTTCTTACTGGACCTTGGTAGAGTAAACTCTAGAAATAAAGTAACCTGTTGCTTTCAGATTTCTCTATAAACTATTCTTCAGAAACAAGGAAACCCAAAAAATAACATTTGTTTTTACAAATATATAATTGATTATAATGTACAATGTACTGAGGCTAGGGTATACCTTTTCTGAAAAAGTTTCTGCTTTTTGGTGGTAAAAACAATATTTTGAAAAATGTCATTTTATCAAACTTGTGTTCTGAAGGGTCTAACAGACACAGCAAAGAAGAACTTCGGAGGTGGCAATACAGCGTGGGAAGAAAAAACATTATCAAAATATGAATCAAGGTATAGCAGATATTTTTCTTCTCAGTGTGCTAATATGCTTTGCAGTGAGCAAGATCAAGATGCCTGTGACTGAATACGGTGTATAAAGCAGAAATGCGGTTAATTTAGAGTTAAATACCTGACTCTGTTTAAAGACAATAGGATAACCTAATTCCGTGATGGCGAACCTATGGCATGCGTGCCACAGTTGGCACCTGGAACCCTCTCTGTGGGCACATGAGACGTCGCCTAGCTTAGCTCCACTGCGCATGCGCAATCGCTTCCCGCCGGCCAGCTGATTTTCGGGTCTACCCTGCAAGCGGCATGTGTGGGGAGACCTATCTTTCTCTTCACTTTCTGCTGCCTGTGCCTTCCCAGATGTCTGGAGATTCCCCTCCCAGCAATGTTTTGGGAGGCGAGGCTTTTTTCCCTCCCCCCCCCAAGCTGTTTTGGGAGGCAAAGGCTTTTTTTCCCTCTCCCAGCCGTTTTGGAAGCTTCCACCCCCCCAGCTGTTTTGGGAGGCAAAGGCTTTCACCCCCAGTGCTGTTTGGGGATGTGAGGCCAAAAGGGGGAGAGTTGCATGTGCGGGGGGAGCGGGAGTCGTGCGCGCATGCAGCGATCACATGCGCATGCAGGGGGGGTCGCACGCATGTGCAGAGAGGCAGGGCATGCGGGAAGGGTATTGCATTATGGGTGCGCGCACGCTTTTGGCACCCGAGGGAAAAAAGGTTAGCCATCACTGGCCTAATTGATAGGTGATTGCATTGACAGTGCATAGAATCCTGTCCACTTCCTTAAGGCCAACAGGATCAATCTGTTTCCAAATTACTGGGCAAGATGTTTCCCTAAGCATGTGACAAGGACCTGCTCCGCACATGGATTCTAACTGGGAATGAATCCAAGTGATTTTATCTGACAGGTGTTCAATTTTTTTTCTTCATGACCCTGGACATGATCATCTGAGCCCCCCCTGGCCTCAGAGGGACGAGGTCATCCAGAACAGGGCTAATGGTGAAATTCTATAGAAGCAATAGGGGAGGAGAAATAGTGTTATTTTGCCACTTGTATTGCCATGAGATAGACCTTAATAGCGGCTTTAAGTTGTATCCAATCAGAGTCATCCTTTGTTTTTCTCCAGCGGTGCTCTAAACCAAGAGTCCATGGACCGGGTCTCATTGGGAACTGGTCTATGCAAGTGGTAGGTGAGCACCATTTGCACATGCACAGAATTAGGTTGCGCACACAAAACCATCCCTGCCACCTGCCACCGCTTGTCCATGGAGTCGGAAAGTGGGGACCATTGCTCTAGATGTCGCTTAAACTGTTTCAGAACCCTCAGTTCCTCCATGAACCATGGGGAATTATGGATGTAAAGGGTTGAGAGGGGTCTTATAGATGCAATTCTGTCCAGAAACTCTTGGTTTCAGTGCATTACTAAGGCTTCCATGGGGCCTTGTAGCAAATCCTTTGGATATCGCCCAGTTCCTTCAGGAATCCATTTGTTTCCATCAGTTTCCTTTGCCAGTTCATTTTTAATAGTAATTTTATTAAAGATTACAATTATAACAGCAAAGATTAATACAAACTAAAGAAAAAAAATAGAAGATGCAGAAAAGAAAGAAAAAATATATTAAAAGAAATACATAAATATGTGATTTCATCACAAGTATAAATATTTCTTCTCCTATCCCAACTTTTATCTATACATCTAAACAAACCTATATATCCATTTCAGTCCTGATATAGGTAAAACTCCACTAATGTTAAAGCATACCAAATTTAATAGATCAAATTAGCTAACTTCCATTTACTTTTAACAATCTTGATCTTTAGTACCATCAAATAATGTCGTAGAAATCTTTTCATTTGTTCTTTGTCCCTTCTCACAAAATTCTTTAAATCTTTTTATAAGCCTCTCTTGTAACTCCAATATTTAAAAAATTACCAGGTCACTTTCTTGATTTGCTATTTCTACATGTCTATTAATTATTAAGACAGCCATTAGTTTCTTTTGCCTGTCCAGTTTAACATCTTTTTCCATGTCATCCTTGTATTCAATCATTTTAAAATCTAATTTCAAATCAGCCTTGATCTTGACTGTGATTGAAATGGGTGAGAAAAAAGAAGGAAGATTGCTTTTTTGGAATTCTTATTTTTCCCAGCCCTTATAGTTCTCAAATCCCAATCCTAAATCTTCTTTAAGAACTATCTATATTATGTTATAATGAGAATATATATCAGTGGTTCTCAATCAGAACAGTGATAGTATGTGTTAACTGTGCCCTTGGAAAGGATATGATAGCCTGTAAGCAGTTCCAACCATTACAAAACATAGGTTTCCTCTATGGTCATGTGATTTGGATCTGTGTGCTTAGCAACCTGTTTGCACTTAGGACTGGCGCTCCACGATCATGTGATTGCTATTTGCAATGTTCTCTGCTGGCTTCCCCAGAAAGTCAATGGGGAAACCAGTAGGGTTGCAACTTGCTGCTGCCTGCTGAAACGGTTCTCTCTTGTCTCTGGGTACTGCCTAAAAGAGCTCTTTAACCTTTGTCACAGCCAATGGCACAGTACAGTGGAAAGTATACGAGACATCCATTGGAGTGTCCCCTTAAGATCTGTATTTCCAATGTAATTTAATTTTAATTTTATTAGTCTGCTGATAAGGAAAAGCAGATAAACATGGCTTGTTGCATTATGGTGATGTGTCATTGTAGGTTAGCTGTGTAGCTGAAAACCTTCCATGCAGGGAGTTTCCTTCAGTGGAGAACTCTTCAAAGTTTTGCAGTCTTGGGATGCTGAATATTTTATTATTATAAGCTACTTCATCTTAAAATAGTAGATTGATTGATTATTTATTTGTTTGTTTATATTTCATTTTTCTAGACAGCCTATATTCCTTAACATTGTAGTTGTAGATTATATAATATAGAAGTTAATAACACTTGATTTTTTTTTAGATATGTGTTATGGACACTTCAGCACTGTGTCAGAATTCAATAAATCAACTCATTTCTTGTTTTTTTTTTATGTAGTGAAATTCGTCTTGTAGAAATTATAGAAAATCTGTGTGACAGTAGTAACTTTGAATGCAACAATATGGTAGAGGAGCATGAAGAACATATAGAAATTTGGTGGTTCAAACGGTAAGTAAAACTGCAATAATACTTGTTTAAATATTGGCTGTAAGAAGTGCATGGTAAAGGTAGGGATTTTTTAAAACATCGTTTTAAAAAATAAATATCTAAATATCTAAATATTTAGATATATTTAATATCTAAAGTAATATTAAATGCATTAAAAGCCCATTTTAAGATGTAGTTTGATAACATATTTCCCCTTTTGTTGTTAAATTGATAAGGCATGCTTATTTACTATATACTTTAGTTAAACCTACATGAGTAGGATAAATTTGTTTTTGCTGCAGCATTTGTGTTGTGCCAATGGTTTTAAAATATCTAAAACTATTTTCAAAGACCTTGTGCAGAATAAAAGTAGATTGCATTTAGTGCAGCTGTTTCCCCCCTTCTCCTCACACCTTGTTAAACAGTGGTAGATTACTCAGTGCCCTACAGAACCTTTGGACTGCTATGTCCATAATTCTTCAGCAATGACCATGCCAAAGCATCTGGAGGGTATCCGGTTGGCTATATCCACTTAGGGTACAAACATTGAAACAAGGCAGGTGCTTTATGAATGTCATAGACTAGTGAAAGTCTGTGCCATTCAAGTCCTAGACACATTCACTGAAGTGTCCCCTTGAGACATATATTTCCAATTTAATTTATCAATCTGCTGATAAGGAAAAGCAAATGATGGCTTATTGCATTAAATTGATATATCCATTGTCAGGAGACTACCCTGAGTTTTTGCATCATCAGTGGATGGATATAATCATTCTTAAAGTTTTGTCAACAAACTTCAATATCCTGCAGAAGCCTGGCATATTCTTTATTGATGGCATTTAGTATTGAGATTTCCATCACTGTTGCTATACATGGCTGCTAGATGCTACAGTAATGCACGTGATAAGCATTCTAGACATTATTTCCTAGGATTCCATGATAAGGTTCTTGTCAATTCCAGATCGCATCTGCTACATTTGCAACTAAAGAAGAGAATTTATCTAACTACCAGCCCTGACAGCACTACCTGGGATCAGAAGGGCAAGTTGTTCTTCCTTGTATATCATCACTTAGCTGCAAATCCTACAAACCAGTTTTTGATCCTGAGATACAGCTACATTTTGCTCAAAAAAATTTATTGAATACATATGTTCAGGGTTTTGGTGTATGTTTGTGCGGAACATGCATTCATACTAATTCATTCTTTTATACATTTGTAATGATATCTTGCCCTTAATTAGTGATCCCTGGTTAAGTTAGGTTAAAGCCTCTTCCTTGTCCTCTTCTGATAATTGAGCTTAATGGCATTTCCATAGACTTCACTGACAAAGGTCTACCCATGTAGCTATTATTTTGTTTTGTAAAACTCTGCTGTTAAAGATTATTATACCCAATGTGTGTGTGTGTGTATATCTCTGTGTGTGTGTGTGTTATACATCGAGGTTGTCAGTTGTCTCCAGCTGTTGCTGCAGAACTACTGAAAACTTTAATAATATCTTAAATATGAGAGAGGGGCTGAAAAGATATTATGACTTTCTCCTCAAACGAAGCAGTTACTAATTATCAGATTGTAGCTTCAATTTAAAGTCCCTTTATTCTTTAAAAAAATATCCTGAACCAAGCCCTTTTTGTTTTTGCTGTAAATATTTGAAATATTCTATTCTCTCCCACTTTCTTGCTGTTCTTAGGTCAAACTTCCATAATTTGGTTTAAATAGATAGTCACCTAAAATCACCCCAAACAGCAAAAGAGATATATAAATTTAATAAATAAATAAAGGAAATTATTGTTGATACTAAAATTCAAGGTAGATCTTCTCACTGCTAAATCCAGCTTTCTGCTCTTCCCTTGTCCTTTTTAATTTGCTGCCATTTTTCACACAGGTTATTATTGTAATTATTAATGCCTTGTGTTTCTAAGAGTATGTCCTAAGTTTTCTCTTGGGTATCTTGTTCTATATTTCATTTGTTGAACCCCTGATCTGATGTAGTTCCTGACCTCTCAGGGTTTTATTCTAAGATTTTTGAAGTACAATAGATAGTATAGTTAACATCGTACTTATAGAGTTAAAGTTATGCCTAACTTTGATGCTTAGAGTTAGGGCTTAGACCAAATACTGCAACAGGTAGGTTGCAAATGGATACAAACAGAGATCAGTCAGCAATTGACAATACAATACAAAATTCAAGCTCACTATCCACTGTTTGTTTTTTTAAAGTATGGCTGGAAATAATGATGGGTCTAGCTTAACATCCAGGTGGATCATTATAGCATCTGATGCTCTGGTAGGAAATTGTTGTGCAACTTCTCAAAAACAATTTCGCAGACCTGGCCAGTGCAGGTATGGTAGTTGTGGTACAACATACTATTTGCACCAAGGGAAGTTAGCTGGTCTTTTTGTTCCCCTTAAAAAGTAGGTTGTATTGTTAAAAAGGCAGTTAAAAAGATCTAGCATAATAATTTAAGACATTAGATTCTCAAACTGTTAAGAGTTGTTTTACAAATATCCCATTGTTCTCAAATGAACTTTAAATGAATGTTATAATGAGGTAGGAAACATTCATACTGCAATACCCTAGTTCACTTGTACAATTGCCAGTTGCTCGCTTCTTTGTTCTGGATCAGGAGACCAAGCTGTGTATAGGATGCTACAGGTTGAAATGGCCGAGCAAAAGTGGCTAACAATTCATAATATATACACATCTTGCATAGTGTTTATTGCCTTTTGGAATTCAGTGGCAATTTGTAGTTGATCTCTTGATCTCTTTTTGCAGAAATTTATGTTGGTATGTAACTTGCACAGGTTAGCATGAAATTCATGAACAGATGTTATATTTATGAATTATTTTATTCTTACAGGAAGAAGAATCACCCTGATTTGTTTAAGTGGCTTTGTATTGAAACAATTGAAGTTTGCTGCCCTGTTGGAACACATGGACCAGACTGTGTTGGTAATTAAAGTTGAATCGATAAATACTGGAAGTTTTAATATCATATGATATGATATGATAGTTTTAATATAGATAATTAAGCTTTATTTGTGCCCTCAGTGTTGTGAATTCTGCTGAAAATCAGGCTTTTTGTCTAGAGAGATGATAGACAATGAAAGTAATGGAATGGAATCAGTTAAATGAACTACTTTAAGTTTTGGAAGAATTATGAAGAATGCAATAAGCAACTAGATTTCTAATAATAGCTTTATTTAAGAGCAAATGCTTGTTGGATATATCACCAGATATTTGTCTTCTACATTAAGATGAGGGAGCTGTTTTTAAAATATTTTGTTATTTTTCCTGTGCTTGTGATGCAAAAAAAGAAGGCAATATATCAGTGATACATTATTCATACATAAGCGTTATAAGTTAAGGGGTAGGGATGGGGTAAGTGAGTAAAAATTGGAGTTATCCAATGGGAATAACCCCGCATATTATATTTATTTCTCAATCCCACATATTATATTTATTTATTTTATCAAATTGATATGGCCACCATCTCACACAAGGTGACTCTGGGCAGCATACAATAAAGCCAACTATTAAAGCCAAATATAAAAACCAAGTAAACAGTTAACATAAGTAAAACCAAAATTGCAAGAGGGTTAATTAGAATGTCATATATGGTACAACCAATGTGTGGTTTCTCTATTGTCTGCAGGCCTGATTAAAACAATATTTTTGAGGGCTCTGCAAAAGTCCACAAGGGTTGGGGTAACTTCACCTCAGATTTAATAATGTTCCAGAGGGCAGGTGCCATAGCAGAAAAGGCTCGTCTCCTGGGTCCCGTCAGATGGAGCTCCTTAGCAGACAGGACTTGCAACCTGCTTCTACTACTTACCTGCTAGGATGAGTAGAAGAAATTGGTGAGAGGCAGTCCCTTAGATAACCTAGATAATAAGTTGCAGAGCTTGCAGGTGGTTATTAAACAAGTTTGAATATTTCTGACACTTTTAGTTGAAACAAAGATAAAATGTCTTGATAGGTTTCATCATGAAACGTACAAATAACAATACTAAGCTTGAGCTACAGCAAGAGAAACAGTAACAAAACATTTCGTTTTACCTGTGATGTAACATGTTCTTATTTGAAGCTTGTCGTGGGGGATCAGAAAAGCCTTGCCATGGAAATGGCGATTGTGATGGAGATGGCACTAGAGCTGGTGATGGATCATGCAAGTGCAAAAAGGAGTATCAAGGAGAATTCTGTTTGGATTGTTCTGATGGATTCTACAACTCTTACAGAAATGATACGCATTCTGTTTGCACAGGTATGTTTACATGCTTATATTATTCAGGGTGATTGATTCATTAATTAGCATCTTAGATTTCATACATTCATACCCTTTTTTTGTAGTAAATACTTGGTGGGTATTAATATGCATGTAATTAATATATAAAATGAGATGAAGTGAGTACGTAAAATTCAACAGTTCAATTTAAATCAATTTTATTAATTCCTTATGTTTAGGAAACAATTTGTATTATTGAGCACAACAAATGCAGTATAGTACTGTACAGCCTAATAATCATTTCAGTTCGCATAGTAGGTAAATGGTTACAATGTTATGGTGATTGAGCCATGTATTAATGGGCAAAGGGGCAATACATCAATTTAATGTAATTAATTGTGCCATTGAAGATTTATTATATATATAAAATGTTTTTAATTATAAAATATAACCTTTGATTTTAAAAATGCCCTCATACACCTGGTTTTGAGATTCATCCCAAATAAGAGAATATACAATATTTAGGATTGAACTGTGGAGTCCTTGTGCCCTCTGAGCTTGTTTGCTTGTTTGCATATATTTTATTATGAACTAGATTACCTCATCACTATTAGTGACTGTGTGGGATTTGCTCCCTACATATATATATATATATCTGCCAGTGTTGATGAGGATGTGGTTTTCTCCTTGGTAAGTTAAGGTAAACTCAGAGACCACCAAGGTTCTTCATATTTTCTGCTTTATAGTTTGTCTGGTGTTAATCCATGCTTATCTTGGTATTGGCTACTGGAGGTGATGTGTTCTGGTCCCCAAAATAAAAGTAGGTAATGAGGCAGAGAATGATAAGATCAATGATTCTGGATATTTCAATCTTAGTGTATTTGGCTAGATCAGGATTTTTGTGTGTTCTGGTCATAGCTTGTTTCAGTTACTCCTTGAGGTTATCTATGGTGTGCTGGTATTTATTTAGATTGAAATGAGCATTCATGATCATTAGCCAACTTTTATTAAGATCGAAATACTGAGTTAACATAAAGAAGAACTGTCCTGCCTGCATGGTTGTTTTTTTTTTGTTTGTTTGTTTTTTTGCAAATGTTCTAATTTTGTTGGGTTTATACCTATCAATTTGAATATATGTCACAAATACTTGTGAACAGCAAGGACCTGCACTGTCTTGAAGAATATTGACCAACGAATAATTTAGTGTCAAATTGACATGGTAATAGTTCATAGATAGCCTACTTGTTTATAAGTCCCAGGTAACATACATCATGAATAATTGGGACCACACATTTCTCTTTTTTGTGCTGAAGGCCTGAACTTTTAGCAATAAAAAGAATAAGGATAACATGGTCATCCTTTTTTGAAACAGTTGTGCACACACACACATAGCGTAGCACAACAGACAGATATGTCTGAAAAGATAGATACATACATACATGGATGTGTTTTATTCTTTCTTTCCTGTTTTGGTCCTGTTTAATAAACCCCAAAACTGGAAGGCAAGACAGTGGCAGAAGAGAAAGGTCACAATGGCTAAGCTTCCATGTGCTTCTACCAAGTGTTCTGGAGGTGGGACTGGAATGTCTGTCCTGATTTGATATGAATAAGGAATCCTGACTGAAATACAGTGGGAGGAAAGAAAGCAAATTATACCATACATAAAGCAGAGAAATGTTTCAAAACAGTGAGCAGGAAATAAAAAGCAAAGTAGTCCTTTTTTCCCCTGTATATTTTTTGAGCTTTAAACATAGCTATAAAATTCCTATTCCAGAACTGATTCAGAAATAAAAATAAAATGTGGAAAAAGAAGCAATATTTTGTACAGTTGCTTTCTTTTTTGTTTCAGTTGCAAACTTTTTAAAGGTCTGTATGTCCATAACAATCTTGCAAATGTTACTTCTCTTAATAGCTTGTCATTATTCATGCAAAACATGTACTGGGGCAACCAACAAGGACTGTAAAGATTGTAAAGATGGTTGGCTTAGGCATGAAGAAGCCTGTGTAGGTAAGAATGGCTATGTGATACTTCTTTAAAAAAATCTGCCAAATAATTTACTAATAATTTATTATTCTAAAGGATGAATAATTATCTTCTCTTTCTCATATGCACTATAGATGTTTATGCTGCCAATCATTTCAATCAAATATAACAAAATTGTAGCTCTCTAGCTTGTTCATATCAAGTTCCAACTCTGTGCTTACTTTGTAAGATAATGTTAACTATTTAGTTTTAAAATAAAGGCAAAGATGGGAGAATTAAATGATCTGTAGTTGTATTCATTAAATAATACTGAGAAACGGATACATTCATATATTGTAACCATAATTTGTTAAGCAGCCAGAACTAGTTTTGCGTATAAGAGAAGTCTTCACAGTTTATCTATCTACTTCTCATTTATTTTGCCTCTTTTTTCACTATTCCTGTTTGTGGATCATTTTGTTCTTAGAAAAGAAACAAGGCGGACAAGTATGAAAATCATAAAGACCATTTAACTTTTGATTAAATGTAACTAATACAGTGCAATCTATATTTTAACACTATCTTGCATATCCAATTTCTTTTAAAGTTTTGAACATTTCCATTATTCTGTCTATAACCTTTAATGTGGGTTCATTTTTTCAGATGTGGATGAATGTGCAGTAGAAGAATCTCCTTGCAATTCTGATCGATATTGTTTGAACACAGATGGTTCTTTCGCCTGCAAAGGTCTTTTTTTAACTATTTCTAAATAAATCACAATATGTATAGACTGCTTAATTTGTTATTTCTTGACTAACAAAAGGGCCAATTGATTGTTAGAAGTGAAAATTTAAAAATAATTAGTGGACCTTCACTTTAATTTCAAATGTAAAGTTTGATATGGCACTGCATTTGACATTTAAGGCTTGACACTGTGCACTTTCAGATTTCCCTAATACGATTGATAAATTTAATAGATTTCAATGGGGGAAACATGACTGAGGACCCAACTTAATGCAAATATTTTTATACAAATACCTTAGTCATGATTGTAACTATTGCCTCATTAATTGTGCGTCCATTAATTTTGCATTTTCTCTAGCTAATCATGTCTGTCCTGTTAAATGTAATGACATGTTACTATATATAAAAGGACAGCAAACCCCACACTCACTCCAATTATGTTACCTAGTTATGTAATGAAATGTCTCCGAGCAATTACGCTCAAAGAGACCAAGACTCCATCGAATTTCTATTTTACATTTTAGCGTGTGATCTCAGCTGCTTGGGATGTACAGGAGAAGGGCCTAATAAATGTAAAAGCTGTGTAACTGGCTACGAAATGAAAGAAGAAACATGCACAGGTTAGATTATTATAACAACATGGATATACAACATTTTTGAAACTGTTAATTTTATTTAATAATTCACCTGCATATTGTTAAATTTCATTTTACCATATCTTTTTTTGTAGATATAGATGAGTGCTCACACACTGAAGAAGTATGTACAGGCGAAAATACGAATTGTATTAATACTCCAGGAGGTTACAAATGTATCTGCTCAGAGGGCTTTGAAGACAAAGAAGGCATCTGTGTTCCATCCATAAAAGCAGGCGAGTGACTGTCTTTCCAGTGGGATTTAGTGGAGAGAATAGTGTGGTAATAATTACTGATCCAAAGAAAGTTTCAGTGTTCTTACATTTCCCTTTAAATATATTTTTTTACATTTTAAGCTGATCACTATATTTTCTAATTGATTCCTGGTATCTTTTCTGGTATTGAACAAAATCATAAAGATCAAATCCTGCCATGAAACTCATAGTAATTTTGTACCAATAATTATGTCAACCTAAGTTAACCGTTTCCAGCCTGTTCTCCAACTAGAGTGGGAATTCTGAGGTTGGTTATCCAACATGGAAGGCATCACATTAAGAAGACAGGTTGGTGAATGCTAAAATAAGGTTGAGAACAAAAGGAAGAGTCGGGCTAAGAAGATTGTATTATGCAATGTAACAGACGAGTATCTGTCTACCAAAAAGTAGGCTAGAGATTCAGCTCCCCAAATTTATTTAAGCCACGATTGAGTCTCAACTGTGGTACCGTCAAGTTCAGCTCAAGAAGTGTATTAGAAGTCAAGCAAAGAATCCACAGTAAGGATTTCAGAAACTTAGATTGTACAACCTGTAAGTATAGACATCCTTGCAGATCCAACATTGTGAATTATATAGCAGAATACTTAATGATGACAGTGTACATTCCTGTCTGCATTATTCTCTTAGTACTGATGTATTGGGTTTACATTCATATGGTTTTAAAAAGAGAATATATACCGTGTTTCCCTGAAAATACAACCTACCCAAAAAACAAGCCTTAGCCCGATTTTCACGTCTGTGCCTAATATAAGACCTACCCCCAAAATAAACTCTAGTAAATCCCCACCCACCATCTGGTTGTATGAGGTGGAATGAGGCGCAGGTGTAAAAATCAAGCTAGGACGGGAGTGGTGGGGTGGAGCATCCTGCACCCACTTACTTTAGGATTGCCGCAGCCAGGCCTATGCCTCGACACCTGTCGCACCACTGCCCAACTTCTTCTGCAGCCGCTTTCGGCTGCTTGCCGGTGGATGCCATGTGGTGCATCGCACTGGTGCCGCTGCTCATGGCTAGACCGCACATGGTTCATCACGCCGGTGCCACTGTTCGCAGTAGAATGCAGCAAGGCTGCACCAATGCCGCCTCTCACATGCACAACGGCACAATGTGCCATGCAGCCTCCTACGAGCCTCGCAGCATCTACGAGCAGCCACAGAAGTCAGGCAGTGGCATGACAGCTGTCAGGGCATGTCAGGCATGGCTGCGGTGGTCCTAAGGTAAGGAGGTAAGACATCCCTTGAAAATAAGAACTGGTGCTTTTTGGGGGGCCGAAAAGAAAATAAGACCAGGCCTTATTATTTTTGGAGAAAAACAGTAGATGTACTGGCTGCTTTAAAAAAATATGGCAAGACCTCCACCTTATGCACAATATTAGAGCCTTGGTACTACAGTGGTTTAAAGCACCCTGTTATTAACACAGCTGCCTGCAATTTACTGCTGGTTCGAATCTCTCCAAGGCTCAAGGTTGACTCAGCCTTCCATCCTTTCTAAGGTAGGTTAAATGAGGACCCAGTTTGTGGGGGCAATAAGCTGACTTTGTATAAAAATATACAAAAGAATGAAGGCTATTGCTTAACGCACTGTAAGCCGCCCTGAGTCTTCGGAGAAGGGCGGCATATAAATCAAATTAAAATATATATATATATATTTCATGTGCTTTTAAGGGCTTTCCATTTCTCCTGCCAGCACAAGAGTAGACAAGGTCTCTCTGGAATGGTATCTTGCCAACATAAAGAAAAATAAACCACTGCTCTCCCTGGGCGCATCTATACACTTTCCACACAAGCATTGGCACTTCTGAATACTAGGCAATAGCAGTAGTGTAACTGCATAGGAATTACTTTTAATTAAGATTTATTCATTTTGACAGAAGAGAAATCATCAGCAAATACAAGTTCATCTGATATCCATGAAGACTTATGATCCACATTCCAAGATGAGACATCGATATCTAACCCTTAAATTATTGAGCTGAAAACCACTATCCAAGGCGATATGTAAATGGTGTTATATAAGTGCAGGTTGCCAGTGATTCCCTTTGGAAATAAATGAAAAATTGTGCTTAAAATTGCATTTCTGTACAAAATAAGAACGACTACTTTTTATACAGGCGTTATACTATCCTAGTACTTCTATCCTAGTAGAAGTGATTAGTGACATTTGCTTAAATCGAATGGATTGTGCCCATTTCAGCACTATTCGTCATTTGTGGAGCAATAGAAAAGGAAAATACTTGGCAAACGAAAGACTTAGATTTGGACTTTTTTTAATTCTTTTTCAATGTTGGTAAAAGAAGACTGGCATTTGGAAAAAATGAGTAAAATCTTGATGGTCAACTTTGTCATTAAAGATTTATTGTGGCTGCTTTGTATTTTCTGTAAGCCTTATGTGATGGTATTCATTTTTAGTTCTCAAAATCATTTTTATGTGTCTAAAGTATATTACTCATCATTGGTAGCTCATAATACCAATTATACCTCATTAATTTAAGACTTCAGCTTTATATTGTAAAAATGGTAGTTCTAAATTTCTATTGGAATAAGTCCCTGTCCATCAAAATAGAAGAAATTATAATCTTTAGGAACAAATGAGTACTTAACTGTTCTTTACGTCCATTAAATTAGAAAACAGAATGTGATATATCTTAATTTTCAATTGCTTTTACACTTTAAAAGAAAATATGTAGATGAATTGAATACAGATGAATACAGGTAAGTCAAAATCAGACTACATCATCAAAAATTTACAATCCCACAAAAAGATTTTAGATGTGTTTAAATAAGGTATATTTAAATTCATAGTGTAGTCCAATACAAGAACATTCTGATCATCACCTTTAAGAAATTAAATAAGCTGGTTTTGAGATCAAACAGCTCAGCCAGCTATATGGAATCATTAAAATGCTCCTAGAAGGCCAGTTGTCAGCTCACGTAGCACCTGAATCGTTTGCCTGCTGCTGGTGCAACATTTTTATACCTGGAGTTCACATCTGGACTTTGTGACCTGCCTTGGGAATGCATGATGAGTAGCCAGATCTACACTTCGGGCCTTTTGGAGCTGTATTGTGGGAAGGGAATTGTAGGCTGAAATGGATACTGTAAGACATGTGAAATCATTAAAAAATAAGTTCTGTTCCTTGGCCAAACCCTACCCACAAAATCTTCAAGCCTTAATATACACTTTTCAGCTATTCTCAAAAATGTAAAAAAAAGTTTATAATTTTTGTCACATTCTGTACTGGGAGCAAATGAGGTGTTGGGGTGTCATAAATCAATTCTGTGCTTCAGAAAAATATGGTACGTGGTGAAATGCTTGTCCAACTTACTGTCAGGGTTCCAAATAATACACCCATAGCAAACAGAACTACGAGGCAGGGAGATTCCTCAAAGAATAGTTTTATTGGATATATCATTTTCGCACAGACTGGTGAAAACCGACTCTGAAGGTTCCCACAGTTTTCACCTCATTAAAAGTAAAAGTTTTCCCCCAGGGGTGAAATCCTACCAGTTCGTACCCGTTTGGGCAAACCGCTAGGGATTATGGGCATCAGTTCGCCGAACCGGTAGTAATTACCCCTCCTTGGCCCCACCCATGCCCGGCCGGTCGCCGCTCACCTCTTCCGGCCGCTCAATATTCTACAGAATTCAATGTTAAATGCAGCAGAGAGAATGCTAACTTTTCTCCCTCCATTCAGAACGGAGCTGCTGCAGCCTGTCCCTTTAAGGTCCCCGGGAGGGGGAGGGGGGGAGCAGCTGGAATGGAGCCGTTTTTGTGAAAGGCAGGAAAATGGGGAAGGGGATTTTCCTGCCTGTCATCCATTCCGCAATCTCAGCACAGACTGAGGGAAGGATGGTAGGCAGGAATATTCCTTTCCCCATTTTCCTTCCATTTGTGACAAGGAGTGGCTGGGAGGGGAGGGACCGGTGAGGAGCCCCTCAATGTGAGTGATGTCGAGTTGGCCATGCCCACCCAGTCACATGACCTCCCCCCCAAAAAGCCACACCCACAGAACCGATAGGGGAAATTTTTTAATTTCACCCGTTTTCCCCCTTTCCCAATCAGTCACATGGTCCAATCAAGGTGCTATCTGATTGCCTGGTAGCTTCACTCCTCTCTCTGGCCACCTATGGGAATATCCTTGGTTCCCAGGGGAAAGTATTTTGTTTTGGCTACAAAACCCCAGCTATTTCTATTCCCCCCCCCCCCTCCCTATCCCTCAGCTTCAGTTTGGCAACGCTGAAGCTTCAAAATGGCTTCGGTCAGGTCAGTTTCAGGATTGACACGTTATGATATATACATGATCAAGAGAAAAGGATACGCTGCTCCAGATGAAGCAGAGATTACTCATATATGTCTAAATAATGCAGTTGTCTTACACGATTATGCTGTTTTAAGTATTGCTAATATATAAACTGATGCAAAGACTCGTAAGCACCAAAAAAGGAGAATGTAATGGTTGAAATGAGAAGTGCTTGTGCTCTCTGAGCATGGTTGGGGTTTTTTTTTGCAGACATTTCACTCTACTGATGATGTTATCTAGTTTGGGTAATAAAATGTCTGCAAAAAAGCAATCAAGCTCAGAGAGTAGCACTATGCTTCCCTCTTAATATTTAAATTCCCACAGATAAATGTAACAGCAGCAAAGTATGTAGCTGAACTGATCTTTCAGTATTGTTACAGAAAAAATATTCTCATCTAGCTTTGTTTTCTATTCAGCACAATTGAGATTGACGTTCTTTGCACACTTTGGGTCAACGTGTGACTTACATTCATAATTGAGAAGTCCCTTTGTTAATAAAACTCAACTAAAAAAAACCTTGAGTGCAGCAATTAAATATTTTCACTTTCAACCACTAGGGGGCATACTTCAGTTGTTGCAGACAATTCTGAGAATACGATACTGTAATCCAAAACTAGCAATGCAACCTATTTCCAATAAAGGAGACGCTGAAGATAGTCATTGAACAACTGAGATGGCAATTGTTAATTATGTAGTTTTCATATTACAGTTGGGAAAATATATCATTTAAATGCTTGTTACCATGGCAACTTTCCCATGCCCATTTGCAATATTTGCCTTAATATAGTGATAATGTAAATGCAGGCAGAGTGAGCTTTTCGTGTATCTGGATCAATTCCTAATGCAAGTTAAATGTTATTACTAATGTAACATTTAGCATGTATTAACTGGCTTCTCGAGTTCTTTCATTGAATCCTTTGTGAAAAGTAAATAATCCTAAATAATGTTTAAGGTCTTTGGCCAAGAACTAAAAGAATGCATATATTTAGGAGAGGCATATTATACACCCAAATTTTATTTATTGATATTGGTCCATAATTTCCCATTTGCCAGGAAAACATCTGTGGAAAGGGAATGTTGCCTTTTGAGGAGTGCATGGTGATACTACTGCACCTTTTCTCATTGTTCCATCTCTTATTATAAGCAAATATGTGTTTTAATATGGCTGTACACCGCCCTGAATCCTTCGGGAGAAGGGCGGTATAGAAATCTAATTAATCTAATCTAATCTAATCTAAATATAATAAATCCCAGAAAAAATGTTCCACAAAATTTATTTGGATATACACAATACATCCTACCCTATCCTTTTCTTTTAAACAAGTGGGATTTAAAGTCCACACTTATATTTAGATACTTATGGTCACATAGATCAATAAAAGTTCATGGTTGAGCCCAGAAATATGCATGTAGCTACTTTAAAGATAAATAAAGCTCTATGTAGGGCAGGGGTGTCCAACTGGTGGCCCGTGAGCCAGATGCATCACATGCAGGCCACGCCCACCCCAGCTCTGCAAAGGGAAGAAAGTTGTGATGCGTCACGTGACAGCAACATGACGCAACGAGTTTGACGCCCGTGATCTAGGCCATTATTCTGTTCCCAAGGTGGATTCCTAAATTCCAGTAAGAAGCCCAACTAGGGTTCTGTTTCTGTTCTGTAATAACTGCCATCAATATAGTACAGTATTAATATATAGTTATGTTTAGTATCTTCTCAATCATTTTTTAGCTTTGCCAAAGGCTTCATAAGTAATAGTTTAGTAATACTTTAAATAAATAATACTTTTATATCCAAGATGCCCTAGCTGGGTCTTCATAATCAAATTATTTTATCCAGATCTTTTTATTTAAAAAAAAAAAAGGGTTATCTTTGGTTCTATTTTTTTAAAGCAAAAAAAAAATTTTTTTAAAAAAATCTTTTCATCTCTCTCCATAACATCTGCTTACTAAGGAAACCTGGACTTAAGGGTAATAAAATAATGTTTGCCTATGCAGATTTTAACATTAAGAATATGGGGTTTTTTTAAGTTATAGAGATAAGTTGTATCTGCTTTCATTACATCTAAAAGTCAGAGCTTATCCTTTGTTATTTAGAGTAAATGTGAAATTTTAATTTCTATAGGCATCTATTGAAAATGATCTGACAACTCTTTATTTACTTTTTAAAGAAACCTGGGTATTTCTGAACTCTTGCTTTAAAAATAATGCCTTTGTAGGATGGCATTAATCATTGCCATCTCATAACTGGTATAAGACTTTTTAAAAAATTGTTAAAAGTTTTTGAACTTTGCATGATAATGCTTACATCCCAATGTCCATACAAATTATGAATACAATATTGGGAATATAAAATTTATGTGAATATACATAGAATTTAACTTGATGGAAGTTATATTTCTTCTAAATTAGTGTAAAGGTACAGGATGTTACATATAGTGTGTAGTTTTTGACCTTTGATAAAATATTTATAGTGGCATAATAATATTTACTGGTAAACAGTACAAGCGTAGTATCCCTTTTTAGCCTTTCTCTTGAATACAATCCCCTCACAAAACTCTATAGTGAAGAATTTGTGAAAAATCAAGTTAAGTTACATGACATAACATTACAATAATGATCTATTATTATTATTGTAATCACTGAAATCTCTTGTTAGTTTTAGGGACAAATTAATGATACAAGAAGTCCTCATCTTACAACCATCCACTGAATGACAGTTCAAAATTATGGCGCATGTCCCCAGAGCTACTTAGCACCTGTTTTTTATGATGGCCGTCCCCCATCCCCATGGTCATGATTGGATTTTGGGCATATGGCCACTAACTCCCTTTCATTGCTATTCGCAGGGCCCTATAGTCACATGACTGATTTGTTTTTTTTTTTGTTTTTTTTTGCTGGTTTCTAGCATTTAATTCCAGTTTCCAGCAAAAAAAAAAAAATATGCCCATGGAGTATTCACTTAATGACCACTGCAAAAAATGTCAAAAAATTGGATCCAGTCTCCTGATGTTTCAACTTGCAGCCTAACCTCTTATAACTGTAATTCCAGGCTCAATTATGTTTATAAGAGGAGGAT